TTATGTGATTCTGTAACTCCCCATTGTCGCCATTGTTCTCATTCTTGCCAAAAACTGATTGTATTGTTCCCCATTTGCCGAAAGTGGATTGTGAAGGTATAAAGATCTCCTTCCAACTCTGTTCAAGCACCGCATTCTAACCATGAATGTTGGTCCCTGCTGCAGGAATAAATCTCCTCTTTACTTTACCATCCGGTCTCTGGCCTCGTCTGTAACACCGCGGGTACAACAGAAGTATTATCAGTTTGCAAGTATATACAACTGGTTTTCATTTTCCACAGGGGAAAAAAATCAAATCTTAATGTTTAAAACATCATGGTATGGCCCTTCTAACAAAAAAAAAAAAATTGCTTTCACTTTGACAAGGCCTACAAACACAACATTAAAGAACGAGAAATGCTTTTCTTTCTTCCTAGAAAGGTCACCTGAAGCATTGGTTTAATCCTCTGGGGTGTAAAACAGTCAAGATAAGCTATAATAAACTTTAAATGTCCATCAATTTCTGTTGGAAAACTTGCATCTCAGGATCGCTTTAATGACAAAGCAGTGAAGCAGCTGAATCATCTCACCAGCCTTTGTCTTCTCTGTCTGACTCAGTCAAATACAAAAGGCAGGGATCAGTTTGGCATTATTGACCTTTAGGACTAGGGCTAGATCAAATCTTTGTGCCCAAATCATGATCTCTCGATCACTGTAATTATCTGAGAACAAGTCTGCACAGAGAGAATATTTTGTCCCTTCACTTTGTCCTTCTAAGTCACCCCAACCTGGAAGATAGCATTTCTAACTGGCAATGAAGCACTGCTTATCTTCTCCATTATGTGGAAGCGAAGAACAAGTAGTCTGTGCCAGGTTAAGATACAGAAGGAAAACAATGCAATCTTACAAATATGTAGTCAGAATCTGAAATAATATGCATTGAGCTCACTGGACTTTACTTTAAAGATTGTGTCCATAGGATTCCTCCTTATCTAGTACCCCATTTATGGAATGAGCTCTGCAAAGAGGTACCCAGTCTCTGTTCTTTTTGGTTCCAGGTAAAACCTTTCAATTTTCCAGGTATTTTAATAGCCAGTGTTTAGCTTTGATACTGTATTTTATTCCATATTACTGTAGTACCTATGTACCAACTTGATTATGGCCCCTGTGGCCTTGTTGTTACAGGCTTGCTGTTACTGGTTGTTTTATTACTTTTATTGTTCTATTGTTTTATTGTTATGTGGGGTTTCTGTTTTTGTTTATATGTTCTTTTGGCTTTGTTAACCAACCAGACAGCCTTTTGGCTGTTGGGTGGTATATAAATGAAATCAATGCCTTAACAGATTCCAGGCAAGCTAGAGCTGTACTCAACAGAGCAGCATGCTAGATGTCCGGGCAGAATGGTAGTCTGGGAATAGGTCAGAGCTGTGCTTAAGCCTGGCTGGATGGGAGTATAAAGCTAAATGACCATGAGATATTTTGGAGTCCCTGCTCCTCCCCCAGACGCTTGCTCTGCGCTTAGGACTCCTAGGAACTGGAACGCCGGGTCTCTTCCTGTGCCATCCCCACTGCCTGGTGAGGAAAGATTTGCACTAGCTGCTTCTCTGAGACTGTAAATGTAACCTTGAAGAAGGGCTTTTGCGGGTATCCCAGGGAGGCACAGGAGGTAACAATATACAATTATACTAGTGGTTTCTCAGCCTCCTCCCTTTGTCCTATGCCTTGTTTGGAACACTTAGATGACAGAAATTGGCCATCTTTGTTTTTGCATGGAGCAGTTGTGCCAGGTCCAGCCCGAACAACCACTGCTTCTCATATCTGTGTGTTTATTACTAAGCCTAAGCCAGAGGATTCAAGTCTTCATGCCTGTCTTTCTTTTGAGGAACCAAATCAAGCAGCTGTTGGCACACTACTCTGTTCACGTGACCCTTGCAGCCCATAGCAGCTGCAGTTTTAAGTAGTCCATACTTTCTGTTCCTTCCAGTCAAGCAGATTACTGCTCTGCCAACCATGAAGGAACAAATCAACTCTTGTGGGCAGGGAGAAAAGAGATGTCTAGAAGCCGGCTTTCTTGCATAGTGATGCCACATTACTCGATTTTGCCCTTCATCATATCCTTTTACTCATGATTGCCATCCAGTTCATTAGCATGTCTCTTTCATTCCTTTGCAGTGTGACTTATGATACAGGTCAACACCCCACGTGTGCATCTGTCTTCTCTGTGCCTGTTGTCTCAATTGTGCATTAGAAGCATGTGGCTGAGGACTTTCAACACAGTTTTTTGACTCACTTCAATACCATGCATATTCTTTCGCAGAGATTTATGTCTTGCCTTTTTTTAAAGGGCTCTTAAATCACCTGGACTGTTAACATCTCCAGCTCTGGGATCCTTGGTGTTCTGAGAGATGATTCATGGCCATTCTTAAAGTGAAATAGCATCATTGGTGCAGCGACATCCTCTGTGGAAGAGCTTCATGTAGTCATGATTCTTTTTAAAAGAATGTTATTAAAATTTTTACTGGGTTGGGCTTTTGAGTGGAGTATTTCCACAGTATCTTCTTGAATCAAACTTAAAATAACAGTAGACCTTAATGTACCCAGCCATATTTGCCTATTCGGTCCATCCTATACTCTATGAACTAGGAACAAGCCATTTTTGAACCAGTGGCTGTTAAAAAAAATATTCCCCTTGAATTATTTGGAGGCATGATGGGACTGAGCCATTTGCTCCTGTGTGCACTGCTGTCAAAGCGGCATATATGGGGCACCTCCACTGAGCATCTGTGAGCACTTATACTCTTCCTGTGGGCCTTCAGCAAGTTGGACACTGTGCCCAGGCAGGGGTCCCCAACCTTACTACACCTTTGGACGTATCTGGGAATTTGAGATACTGCTGTGGGAACCACTTCAAGATGTCTAACCATTCCATCACTGTTGTAGCATCTCCCTGCTGATTCTATGGATCTTAGGCTGCATCTAATTTAGCATTTTAAAAAAACGGACAATGTAACATCCCATTAATGGTGGATCATTTAATTTTAGCACTGCCATACAGCTAATGTTTCTCCTAAAAATATGCTTTGGCGATTGTCCAGCAGTTGCTCCTATCTGGAAAGAGGTTTTCACACAGTGTTTTGTGTTGTTCAATCTTTAATATTAACTTTTAAATAACTTACCTGATTAATGGAAGTTAACAAATATTCACAAAGCTTAAGTGGAATTTATGTGGGCTGCCAAGGATAACTCTTCCCACTTAAAGGGCATCCCCATTTTAAGTTGAGAAATGTTTACGTCTAGTGCTCATAACTGCCTGCCCCTCACATGTGCTGTGATTATGTGGACTGATCCATTAATCTTTTCCTGCATAACCTGACTGCCAAAGGACAAGGGGATAAGCTATAAGTGGAGCTGCTCACAGGTCTCTGTCGGTCGTCTTCTGCTGGAAATAGCTGACCAGAAACACCACCAGGACTCTGGATTTCATTTTTTCTCAGCAGTGAGAATGGCAAACCCATGATCCAGGCAGGAAATGCCACTCCGGAGTGGCATTTTCAGGTTACCGGCAGGCAAGCAAGCAAGGTGAACCTTCTGTTCTGCAAATCAGCTCCTCCCACCTGTGGGAAGGTTGCTTGTAAAACTGAGGAGCAAATGGAAGAGCAGGGTTGGTTGTGCAAAGACTGTATGTCATTTTCAAGTCTTGCTTTGGATACCAGAAGGCAAGAAAGTCAAGTTTATTGTGGCATTCCAAAGAAGATCCTGCGAAGTGAAGCATCACTATTTATATGGTTGGAACCATGTTGATCTGAGGCTACACAAAGTGTACCTGGCCTGCAGCAGGTAAGGATGGAGGCAAACATTCATGCAGTATCCGCCTCCCCTTCCCCCAGCCGCCAAATTACTATCAAATATGTGAAACCTTGATCATCAACATTTTTTGGCCTTCATACATTCACAGTAAGAAGTGATTGGTTTTGACATGATCACTGTTGGTTTTTTAATGCTTTTATTTAATTTAATGTGTGACCATTTGGATTGTTCCTTTTCTCGCAAAGAAATACATAGCTACTACCAATTTTTAAAAGAATCCTTTCTGAGGAATTAGCAAGCAAGCATTAATCTGACTGCCAAAACAACTGCATTGAATTGTGGTCTGAATGCTTGGTTTCCAAGCTGCTGTGAGCTTCAGAAAGATCACACCAAAGCACTATTGCTGTTGTTGTTTTGAAAAGGTAAGCCTGTTTCTCATGCTTGAGTATTATTATCTAGAAAACTAATCACCAGAAAGCTATGCATTGCACTTAAAGGCACAAAGATATAAGGCATTGTATCAAGATGTTATAGAATATAGGCATGAGTTGTGCTGAGAAATATAATGAGGACTGCTTTGTTTGAAATATGTTTATCTTAACTGGAGAAAGGAAGCCATTATATGCCCTTTGTGCAACTGTACACAGTTCAGATCCTCCCTTGAACACTTCCAGTCACTGCACTTAAAAAAGACTGCTCTATAGCTAGAAAAAGGGCAAAACAAGGCAACTGAAATAATCTAGTGGCTAGAGCCAGTCCCCTGTGAGAAAAAGTTACCGCATCCAAGCTAATTTGGCTTGGAAGAATGGTGAGTGGGAAAAACATGAAAGAAGTTTACAAAAGTATTTTACCTGTGAAGAAAGTGGATAGGGAGACATCTCTCTTCCTTTCTCATAGTACTAGAACCTGATCCCAAAAAGCTGGTTGGTGGCACATTCAGGGGACTCTGCATCAGATTCAAATGAGTATGGATTTTGATAAATTCAGGTTGCAGATTTCACAGGGGACTGGTTTTTGCTGAGCCATGGAGATTCCAGAGACTTGCTAATCTGGCTTCATTTGTGGTGAGATTAGTGCTAATGCATGTGTGCACATAAATTGATCCATTAATTCACTGTGCCTCTCAACTAATTAACTGGCACTTATGCAGCTAGTCCATATATAGACAGTCCTCCTAATTTTGTTTTCTTATGTTCTCTCTGCTAGGCATCTCCATTAACTTGATACATATTTATGGCCCAGTGCTTTGCATTGTATGTGAATCAGAGTTCATGCCTACATCTGCCTGTTTGATCCATTTCTCAGCTCATTAACAGGCCTCCAGGTGGACATCCTTGCCTGCACAGCTTCTTCCACCATTGGCAGGAGCTGGGTTTGCACAGTATCTTGAACGCCTTCTGGATCCAGCTTGGCAAGGACCCCATGGAGTCCAGCAACTCCAGCTACCATGTATTGGGAGACCTGTAACACAATCATTTATTTTCAGAAAGCTACATAAAAGCCACTTATTGATTTCTTACAGATTTAGGAGAAAACAAACTAAAAATGATTCCATTTCTTAAATGAGATTAAGACTCCATTGGCAAAAATGATACTGGCAATAAACGAAATGAAGTCTGCCAAGCTATTTCATATTGGCTTAGGTTCCACAAAGCCAGGAAACTGGAAGCTTCAGCTGATGCCTTAATAGACATGCCCTATGATCAATAATGACATTGTGTGATGCCACAAATTGTGCATGTTTACAGTTATCATCCAAGCACTTTTTCTGCATCTTCCAGGTCCAAATTCAAATGGAATACCTGGGAGCTGAGAAGATCCCCACATACTGTATATATCCTGTACTGCTTTAGGAAGCACCTGAAACTTACAGTATTGTTAGAGCCATGCTCCTGTGAGCTGGCCCATGCCTGCTGGTTGCTTGCACACAAGCACAGTATGTGACATGACTGATCCTGTGCAGATTTAGGTGCAACCAAAGTTACTGAAATAAACCAGTTTATGGCACAATCCTATTGTGACATTCATAAGCCCCCAAACTCAGAGGCTAACAGCCCTCCCAGTGCAGAGTGGGAAAGCACTCCCCCCCCCCCGCCGCCCACATTTCACTAGAAGGCTTTTTTGCCTAAGTAGCAGAAGCATTTTGGAGGGAAAGGGAAGGAAGCTTCTGGATAGCTGTCTCAAACCCCCACTTCCCCCTGCTGTCTGAGGTTGTGCCCTAGCATGGCTCTTTGCATGCTTGCTGTGAGGAGACAGAGCATGAGGGCTGCAGTCATGAGCCATGACTTTGGATCTGGGACTCTGAAATAGCCCATGTTTGCTCAGATCCTGTCTAGGGACCATAGAGTGACTGCCTTGGGCACGTCTAAATCTACATAGTCCTGGAATACAGCTCTTCAGTATTAATATTCAGTTTCTGCCATTTTTTGGCTCTCTTCTGGAAGTCTCCAGCATGATTTATGACACTGGCCCATTTGCTGCCTCCAAAGGTTCTGTGGCTTAACCTGGCTTCCTGCTTAAGCAACCTGGGCTGTGTAAGGCACTCTTTGGCTACTGCCAGAGAAGGTGCTGGAAGCCATGGAAGGGAGGGGTGATCAATGGTTCGATCTAGAGAGTTAGCCCTTAACGATGGTCAGAGCGGTGTATTGTGCAACTATTATTGCAAGGCTTTTCCCTTACCTGTTCGCCTTGTGTTTTCACAGGCTGGTCCCTCTGCACCAGGTGGGCACTCACACACACAGGTGGCCCCCATCAGCATCGGCTCGCCATTGTTCTGGCAGGGGCCACAGCGGCAGGCATTGAAGTCCATTAGGTAGTCACCCAAAGCCCTTTTCAGATTTTGCCTTTTGGCTTCAATGTGGGCAAGGTTGGTCCTCCGCAGTAGCTCATATATGGGCTGTAGCTGTAAAAGAGCAGACAGGGAATAGAAAGGGACATGTTATGAATGGTGGCTTATTATGGCTGCTTTTGTAGGCATCTTAAGACAAGGGATGTACCAGCATTTCATCTTAGTTGTTTATTATCAGAATTTTCCTCATTCACACCCATGAACATGAACCAGTGCATTTCTCAGGCAAAACTTGCAATTTCGTGACCTTGCAATCATATTCACAAAATGTGACATTTAAAAATGCATATTCTGTGCTTTAGTCAATGAGGAGAAAGTATTTATAATATTTATATTCTACCTTTTCTCCTTTCAAGTAACTCAAGCCAGTTCACATAATTCTTATCCTCCTCTCTGTCTTATCCACCCCACCACCACCACCCCACCACCACCACCCAGTGGGGTAGGTTGGGCTGGCCCAAGGTCACCCGGGGTGTGCCATGGCTGAGAATGGACTAGAACCCAGATCGCCTGAGTCCCAGTCCTGCACTCTTAACCACCACAGCACTCTGCACGTGCACTTTTCCCATTTAAACAGAACAAGAAGTTGCAGTACTCAAACCCAAGGGAAAACCAAGCCTCTGTCTCCATGTTCCACGAGTAGGGAGGCAGCATATGATCATGCAGCTAGAATTATATAATCATAGGATCATGTAATAATAGAGTTGGAGGGGACTTGAAGGCCACCAAGTCCTACCCCCTGTTCAGTGCAGGCCTCCGGGTTAAAACATCTTTGACAGGAAGCTGTCCAACTGTCTCTTGAGTGCTTCCAGTGTGGGAGAACTCACAACCTCCCTACCTGATTGGTTCTGTTGCCATACTGCGCTAACAGTCAAGAAGCTTTTCCTGATGTCCAGCTGGAATCTGGCTTCAGGCAACTTGTGCCCAGAATTCTGTGTCCCGCACTCTGGCATGACTGAGTAAAGATCCTGGCCCTCCTCTGTGTGAGAGCCTTGCGAGCATTTGAAAAGTGCTATTATATCGCCACTCAGTCTTCTTTCAGCCTCTCCTTTAGAGGGCTTTGATTCCAGTCTCCTTGATCATCCTTGCTGTTCGCCTCTGAACTTTTCCCAGTTTGTTTCCTTCTTCCTTAAACTGTGGAGCCCAGAACTGGACACAGTACCCAAGACAGCGGCTAACTAGTGCCAAACATGTGGCACTAGTGACTTGGAAGTGATACTTTTATCCAGTGCTTTTTTTGTAAAAAGAAAAAAGGTGCCGGAACTCACCTCCCCGCTGGCAGTAAGCACACACCCCAATCCCAAGCCCAGCAGCGGAGCAGCTATCTCTCACTATCAGATAGCAGGTCTCAGACACAATAGTAGCCTGCAGGCACTATGTTAATGATGTTTGCTGCTGATCTGCTACTCCATTCAAAATCACTTCGTAAAATCCATTGAAAAAAAGGTGCCGGAACGCCATTCCGGTGCGTTCTATGACAAAAAAAGCCCTGCTTTTATTAATGTAGTCCAAAATAGCACTTACTTTTTTGTAGCCACACCACATTGCAAGCTCATATTCAGCTAGTGATGTACTACAATTCCAAGATCCTTCTCATTTGCAGTATTGTTGAGCTAAGTATTCTCCATCTTTTAACTGCACATTTAGTTCCTTTTCCCTATATGTAGAACTTGGCATTTGTCCCTATTAAACTGAATTCTGTTTTAATCAGCCTAGCACTCCAACCTATCAAGATCACCTTGAATTTTATTTATTTTTTCCAGGGTGTTAGCTATCCTACCCAGTTTTGTATCATCTATCGATCTGATCAGCATTCCCTGTACTTATTCATCCAAGTCATTAAGGAGCACTGATCCCAGGACTAAGGCCTGTGGTATCCTGCTTATTACCACTATCCAGTCTGAGAAGGTGCCATTTAGAAGCATTCTTTGAGTTTGATTCTGTACCCAACTATGGAGCCACCTGCTAGATGTTCCACCTAGCCCACCTTTAGCCAGTTCCCTGATCTGATTGTCATGAGACGCTTTGTCAAAGCTTTACTGAATTCAAGGTATATTATGTCCACAGCATTTACACAGTTCATCAGGGAGTTTACTTGATCAAAAATAAAAAAAAAAGCCGGGCAAGGTTTGTTCTTAGGAAATCCATGCTGGTTTCTAGTAGTTCTTGCATTGTCTTCAAGGTGCTTACAGATTTACTTCTTTATTATCTAGTCCTGAATTTTCCAAGGGATTGATGTCAGATTAACCCATCTATAGTTCCCAGGTTGCTCCTTTTGGCCCTTCTGGAATGTAGAGATAACATTAGCACCCCCCCCCCCCAGTCATCTGCACTTCGCCTTTTCATGATTTCTCAAAGATCATAGACTGTTTCAGAGAGTTTTTCTGTCAGTGCCTTCATTTTTTTCTGGGATGCAGCTTAAAGGGCCCTGGAGATTTCAACTCATTCAAAGAAATCAGGTGTTTCTCAACCAATTATTTATTAATCTCAAACTTCAGTCCTTCTTCTTCAATTTGTACTTCATTTTTGCCCAGGGGTGGGGTAAGTCATAGAACTGCTTTTGGAAGAGGACTAAGCTGAAGTGGGAATTAAGCACTTTGGTCTTTTCTTTGTCATCTGTTAACAATTTCCCTTCCTCCCTGATAAGCTGAACCATCCTTTCTTTTCTCTTTTACTGTGCACTTACCTGGGGGGAAAAAGCTTTTTTGTTGGTCTGGCAACCCTTGTTAGCCTTGGCTCAGTCACAGCTTTAGCCTTCCTGATCTCATTCTGGCACTTCTGTACCACTTGCCTGCACTCTTCTTTTGCAGTTTGGCTTTCCTTCTACTTCCAATACACATCTGGTTGGTTGGTTGCATTTAAGTCAGCCCAAAGCTTTTTATGGAGCCCCACTAGTTTCTTCTGTTGTCATCTATCTACTGTTTTTGTTGCAATTGTTTGCAATTGTGCCTTTAAAATTCCCTTTTAAAAAATCCCACCCAGATTGAACTCTTTCTTCATCAGAATTGCTTGTCAGGAGACCTTACTTGCCATTGCCCTGAGTATATTAAGATCAGCTTTCCTAAAATCCAGAGGATGTGTAAGGCATTGTTCACCCTGCATTTCCTTGCTCCACTTTCTGTAGAGGTGTACTTACAAGGCAAATAAGACCTTGATCCAAACAAATCAAACCACAGTAGGCACAGCAAAGAAAAATTGCACAAAATAAATTTAAGATCGCTACCTATCCCAGTTGGAAAATCAGTTCTGATCAGATCTGACTTTGGGTATCTGATGAGCCAATAACATTGGTTGCTAACCCCAGTGATTTTGAGGGATAAAAGGGGGAAGAGACCAAAGAAGAAACACAGGAGAGAGAAAAAGAAATAGGAGTAGTGTATAGAGCTATCAGAACCGCTGACACGTTGTACAGGACAAACTGTTTGCAGAGATTTGGCTTCCCGTAATTCACAAGGACAGTAGCAACGGCCATGTAAGAGCTCTGATGCACCCTTGAAAAATGGTGTTTTGAAACAATATTTGCACAAGACTCTTTTGCAAACAACCATGTGTCAAGATAAGAGGACATTCAAGTGGACATAAGTAATTATTTGGTGCTTGAATCCACTCCAAAATCATAAGCACTGGGGGCGCTCCTCCAGCAGCCATTTAAAGGTTATAGACTAGGCTCCAGGCAAAACAGGAGTGAGTTTTATCAAGAATTAATGGAAATGTGTGCAGAGAACACCCAGGAACTGCTGAGAGTCATTTCTCATTATAATCAGTCAAAAACATCCTCCCTACCCTACAGGCACACAAACTGATCCTCAGACAAAGCCTCTGCTTCCCCAAATCCGGCTAATTGCAGGGGCGTACATCTGCTCGCCTTGCCACCACTGCCTGTCGCTGTATTACTTTCAGTTAAATGGGAGGCAAAAGAAATAAAGTGGCACTACCAACCATTTGGGGGATATTTCAAAAAGCTTCATGGTGTTGCACAAGGCTTGTGCTAGAGAAATGCTCAGTTAGAAGTGCTTCTGGGAGATGTTCTTTTTTATGCCGAAGGTCAAGGACAGAACGACCTCCCTACTACTGCAAGCACTTCCCAGAGCAAACTCTGACAGAAGCAGCAAGAGGCTGTCGAGGCAGCAAGGCACAACGCCAAGGAGTTCCCTCTCCCGCTTTTTGGTCCCTCATATCTCTTTTCACTTCAATCAATAAGATGTTTGCGGAGGCCTATCATGGGGCACTGATTGCAGTGTTCTAGCTCAAGTGCATTTATGGGTCTGTCCCCCTTTAAATAGAGAGGCAGGCTGTATGGAGCACTTGCGCCTGGCCCGCAAAGCTGCCACTTTCCTAAAGAAGTGGATAGAATGGCACCAGGCAATTTCTGCCCCTCCAGGGATTGTTGGGATCCAGTTCCCATTATCCTTAGGCACCACAGCAAATCAGGGGGCCTGATGGTAGTTGTAGTCCAAGATTCCTCAAGTACGCCCTTACTGTATTACTACTGTACTGAACTTTAGCAGCACTACGCAGAGGCTGGCCTCCTTGCCAGTTACAGACCAGGAAGCAAAAGAAGGGCGTGGAGCAAGTAGCAAGTGTGGCAATGGTGGCGTGGGCTCATCATCCACACACCTCCCCCACTGGCACAGCCTGTCGAACAGCAGGCTGATGAGAGAAGCAGCATCCCGACTCTGCCCCAGACATACAGTCTCGAGGATCAGAGTTGCAACGAAAGCAGCTCTTCCACAAGCAGGACTCCGCAATGGAAACCTTTCAGTGACTACCATGAGTATACCGTGGCAGATACGGATATCTACTGATGCAGGGCTGGGCAGCAGTGAAAACAATGGCTTCAGGAACACGGCAAGATGTAAACTGAAAGTCAAAGGAACTAGAAACAGACTCTTGTGAAAATAGTGTTCTTGTAGAGCAGAAGTCAGACCTGCAAAAAACAAAGTGTCTAGTCTGGTCCCCCAGAATCTGAAGGACAAGGAAGAACTAGAATTAGATGAAAGCAACATTCTATTGTGGTAGTGCAAAGCATGGAACCAGGGTAGTTTCTAAAGGTTATAATCATCTGGCACTATTTCCCAAATTGTTGACAGTTGGGCCACAGAAATATTTTGGACTGAAATTGGAGGCTTACCTCACTACAACACCCAAGAAGAGCAGCACTATTTTGCTGATTGGATTGTAGAATGATCCTACTCCTTGCTTCCCTTACTAAAGGAAGACAGATCATATTGTGTCCTGGTATCCTGTCCTCCCAGTAATCCAGGTAATTCAGGATGGGGCTATAATATCTAGACAATGGTGAGCTCCAGGGATTTCTGTACAGTCTACTGTAAACCTGGGGATCCTGGGATTCTTCTTGATTGCTCTAAGCAGGAGATGCTGCCTGGAGATTCTCCTTTCTTAGAGGCGATACCTGGCAAATATATCTCACATGGTCTAATGTTGCACATTCCTCTACTCTAGAGGAGAAAAAGAGATGAGTTTGATTTCCTGGTGTTCCATGGCAACCTTGTGAGGACAATGGGATCCCAAGTTCAAAAACTTTAGAATCAGTTTGTCCTCCTTTCCAAAGCTCTGAACATGAACCGACATTGCATCATCAGCTAAAGATGGGAACTACCAATTACTGAAATTCCATTTCAGGCGGTAAGATCTGGGACTCACATAGGCATCCTTTCTAGGAGGCCATGCAGCACCATCATTGGACTGAGTTGAATTCCAAACCATAATGAGAAGGCCAGGGTGAGGGTCAGGGATGCGGTGAATGATAAAGGCTTACATGGTTTTTCTTGAAGCACTGTTATACTTGCTTCCTGAATCCCATTTGCTAATGGAATGGACTGCCAGAAATATGATGTGGAACCAGACATTTGTATTCTCAAATTCATATAGCTCACGGACAATGAGTGCCCTCAGCCCTTTGCTGAACAGTTCTGTTATACCCGTATAAGGCACAAGCGGATGTAAGGCTAGTGCATAAGAAAACCAGGAAATGTGAAAAGGAACCCAGGGCACCTTCCTTCCACAACAGTTTGTACAACAGTCCCTTGCAAAAGTTAAATTGGTGGAGATGGAAAATCAGCATTCTCTCCCAGCCCTTTTCTCCAGATCCATGGGATTCATGCAATAAGATTTTAGGGTAGACAGAGTCTTTGTCGGTGAACAAATCACATGAACTTTGCAATTCTGAATGCAGGCAGTTTTTTCAAGGGAACTTCACAAATTCCCAAACTTATGTTGATATAGGGAAGCGTTGGGAAGGGACAGGATAGCCTAGAAACTGCACTTCAAAATGTGCATTTAAACAAAACATGTTTGAGCTTTTATTAGTGTTAAGTGGTAGTACACAATCTTCCTGTTTGAATGACAAGGAAAATGGACCACAAATTAGAAAGGGAATTAGAGGAACCATGATACACACAGTGTTTTGGAGAAACTTGGCAAGTTTAAGCATCCCTGGTTCTCTAATCCCTACCAAAATTGTGCTTTTGGAGAAGCTCCCCTAACAGGACTGATAATGCGAGTGACATTTCACTTTACATCTCCTGTGCCACTTTCACCTCCTCTCTCGCTGTATATTAGCACAGGGCAACCTGTGGCTCTCCAGGTGTTTTTGCCTATAACTTTCATGATTCCTCAACATTGGCTGTATTGACTAGAGCTGTTGAGAGTTGTCAGTTAAAACAGCAGGAGAGGCACAAGTTGCCCAACCCTGATTTCTAGGAATTCTTTCCTAGCTTGAAAAGTGATGCTCTTCCCTTTCATAAAACAACACAACGATGATGCATATGCAAAGACTGTATTTGACAAGATCTTTGCCATGATGCAATGAGCTCATACTTCAGTTTTAGAGTTAGACGCCAGTTCTTACTGTGCTTGCTTTGAAGCCATTGCTTTTTTAATGCATTCTCTCATTGTGAAATCCAGAGAAGGTCAGCAGATCAGTGGCCCATTACATTTAATCCTGTTCTAAGATGGAATCACAATAAAAATATAAAATGATCTGGTCTAGTACACTTTCAATCCTTTAGAGAAGTGGAGTTTCTACAACTGAAAGAAAGGGCTTACCTCAAAATCAATAACAGTGGGATTAAGTTTTAATGACCTCCCCCAGTAACGGTATGCATTGGCATTCGAGGTTTCCATGAGCCTGCCGATGGATGCTGAATCTCCACCTCGAATCCGGGGAATAATGTCGTGTATGAATGCCTTTGTACTCTCAGTATCTGGAAAGTTGAGCAATGGAATGTATAATTGTTCACATCTGTAAATTCACTGCGACTGTTGAAATTCATTCATCAAGGTGGCTCAGAAGAGGACAATTGCCAGCAAGTAGCTATTACAAAAATATGTCCTAAGAGAGCGCGATTAATACAAGACAGCAATGGAAGCTTTAATGCTACCTATGCGCATTTGAGCCCACTTAGAAAGATGAAGGCAATAGCAGTAATATTGTTACATATATAAAAATTAAACTTGCCTTATGTGCTTGTGAAGCAATCAGGTTACAATTCAAACTTTTCATTAAATGTCTGCGTTGTTGTTGTTCTTCTTCTTGTTAATTTTTACAAACGGGAACAGTTACAATTACAAATTGTGAGCTAGTGTGGTGAGCTAGCTAAAAGAACGGACTATGAATTAGCCTCGTTCTTTGCCTCTTAAAATTGCCACGTCTTCATTCTCTCTTTATGTTATTGCAACATTTCTAACAAGGTTATGCGCACACAGGTATAATAGCCTCAGTCAGAATATAAATAAGATAGCCTGCCTCCTCATGCATATGAGCTCTCACTGGACTGCGGCAACCCTGCGTCCGGGAGATAGGAGAGCAGTGGACTAAAAGGCCTAGAGTGCTGGGATCTTCCAGCAGGCCCTCCTTGCTGCCATGCCAGATCTTCCAAAGAAGAGCTGCTCCATGTTTCATCTCATGGGAAATTGGGGAGAAGTTCCCATCCTGGATGCTCTTCCTGAAGGTGAGATATCCTTCCCCATGCATCCTTTTCACAGCAGAGTAACACATTTCTGTTTCAGATGGCCTTTGAAATGCTGAACTGCTGCATTTGCCTACATCGGGTTTCCATGTTTTCCAATCTGTACTTTTACTGTTGTTATTGCTGCTGCTTTGAGAAAGAATTTATTCAGTTCAATAAATGCATGACTTTAGAGAGGCTTATTGCTCTCTTTAATGGTGCAAAACACGATTGTATATTTTGCAAGTGAGGCCCTGCAACAAAATGTTACAGTGTGGAGTGATTCAATTCAGAGTTGCAGGCGCATGGTTCTATTTTCACTCCCTGCTTGCTTGCTTGCTTGCTTGCTTCATGCCCTCAGCATCTGTGTTCACTGAGCATGCACAGCTCATGAAGCTGCTTCTGTTTTCCTACTTTTATGGTGTTTTTTGACCTCCATTTTGGGCTTCTGCCTCTTGTTGAAGAGTTTAGGCTAGAGGATAGACACACTTGCCCAGCTCAGCTTCAAATATTTGCATTCTGCCAATGGACAGGTCTCACTCCTCTGCCTTTTCCATGGATTCCATTCTATTTTTTCTCTCACCTGATTGTCAGATCTTGGCCTCTCAGTCAACAGGCCATGCCATTGAGCCCTTATGGGGCTGTTTTTAGGGGTTCCCTCAGTTAGGGATCTCTCTCTCTCTCTCTCTCTCTCTCTCTCTCTCTCTCTCTCTCTCTCTGTGTGTGTGTGTGTGTGTGTGTGTGTGTGTCAGTGTCCAAAGATAATAAGTATCTGCAAAGCCTGAGATTACCCCAAGTTTGCTCATACCTCTTCCGTGCGCATGAGTAATGTTTGACTAAATAAGCACAAGTAAATGGAGGGACTGATGGAAATGGGTCTGGAAATATAGTTGAATAAAGGAATGAAGTTCTCTGAAGACATTAAAGCTAAGTGTTAATATTAAAAATGGAATTATATAAATTCTCTATTGATATTATTAAAAGCAGAATGTTATAATTTGCTTTTATTGTTCAAATTATTTTGGTTTGTATCCTGTCTGAAGCCTTGAGAGGGTTTTATCCATGAAGAAGGCCTAAAAGTGATGTTAAATGGAATAAAATAAAATCACACCTATATGTGAAGCCCACGTGATATAAGCCTTGCATGCAACAGCATCCATGAATACGACATGAAGGTGTAAGTGGCAAAGGAGTCTTCCTGAACATTCGTCTTATTTATTGTTATTTATATATTTAGGAGGCTTCTATGCCACCCCATTCACCGAAGCCTCCGGGCGGCTCACAATAATAAATAAATAAACAATATAAAAACAATACAATTTGTCTTTAGTTCAGTAGTGCTTGCTCAGGAGAACTTCCTAGTCAATCATGTCATTCATTTTCATAATGGAAGTTGCTGAAGCTTAGCAGCCAGGATGTTATTTAATTTGTTGCTTCAAAATTGTTTTAAATGTGATGTTTTAATGTTTTGAAATGTGCTATTATCAGCCCTGAATTGTTGCAATAGGATGAGCTATTGCAACTCAAAATGAATGAATGATACCCCTTTAAACATCATTTTGTTGGTAGCAGTAGTTTGAGGTTCATATTTTCTAGCCTCAAAGCATAGTATGTATTGTTTGGTGACGACTCAACTATGCTTTTAGTGAGGGATTCTTTCTTAATGGAAAAGGGGGAAAGACCCATTTTGAACAGGGAAAGCAGAGACAGTGTTTTGAACAATGGAAATATGTGTCCTACCTTTTTCTTGTGTTCCACTAGATTTGCAGTTGCTGTAGTCTGCCTTGGCACTTAAGAACTCAAATGGAAAGTTTAAGCCAATTGATAAACCAAAGCAGGAGCTTACTGAGTCTTCTTTAATTTCTGTGGGAAAGATAAAATGCAAAAATACTGATTACAGTTTATATTCCTAGAACTTCATGTGTTAACTTCATGCGGCACTGCGTGTATGCAAACAGTCACTAGAAAAAACAGAGTTCTCTTTGGACTAGTGCATTGCATGGGCTCTACTAGAAGAATGATGAGAAGATTATTATATTTCAACAGGCAGTGTCCTGAGCTTTCCCAGTGTCCAAAAGCCAGAAGATTTTCTCAAAGAAATTGCAAGGCCTCATTAGGGACTGGAACTCAGGTCTCCGGACTCCAGTTCACTTTTCAGCTTCACCAGGAATCCACCCCCACATGTTCTGCAAGCAGTGTCCCTCTTCTGTGGCGCCCGCAGCAGCCCGAATGGATGCTCCATGTAGTGTGGAAGAGGGATACTGCTAGCAGTTGTGCAGGGCACCATTTCTGGTGAGTCCTGCACAACCACTAGCTTTCTGCTCCACATTTGGGCAGCTGTGCCTGACATGTCAGTCAAGTGTTCACAGACTTCTTCCTGACTCAGTTTGCTTCGTAAATGAGCCCATGCACAAGTGGAAGTCTGTGAATACTAGAAGGGCAGATTCCTCCAATTTAGTCCGAACTCTAATCCTTGTAGCATTCAACTTGTCAGGAAAAGAACCAGAGGTATAACTCTGAATCTTTTCCCTCAATCATTCTGTAGGCCAGTGTTACTAGAGCTGTGGAAGCTGAAATGGTCTGCTTTACTGAACAGCTTCACTCCTCTCCTATCTCTCAGGAAGGAGGACTGAAGCCTCTGTGTACAGGCAGTTCTGAAGCAAGGGAGGGGACTTCATGAAATCCATGGAAAGAGGCATTCTCCTTTGTTCTCATCTTGGGGAAAAGAGTGGATGCATTGCCTGCCCAGGTAACTCTGAAGGCACACTGAGCATCCCTTGAGCCTATTCGGGGATTAATGCAATTACTTTCTATCAGTCACTGTTAAGGAGTGGGTGTGCAGGGGATCAATAACTAAAACCTTAAAGTCTACTGAAGGAGTAAGAACAGTTTTGCTTTCTGAAAACATTATCAGTGTTATTCTATAGTTGCCACTGTGGAGGTTCCCCATCTCTGGAATAAAGCCACTTTTTGGAAAAATCAAGGCATGCTTGAAAAGAAACACACATGAAGAACGAAAATCACTGCCACCAAAGCGCACACACAATGTACTCTTAATTTTGAGAGATTTGGATTCAAACATATTGCTCAGCAAACATTTCATTGTGTCAATGTTATTACAAGTAAAAGCCTCCATTCATTTCCCATTTGTCGCAGCAGCAGAGCTCCTATTGATTGTTTCCCCTTTTGGAAACAGGAAGAGCTCTCTGGGGCTCAGTTTGTTCCATCAATTGTAATGGTTAATTTTTCTTCAATAAAGGATACAATTTCTCCCCCCCCCCCAATCTGTCCAGACAGGCCCCTTTCTTCTTCTACCGGTACAAATGCCTTGGGAACATGTTTGCGCATGTATTCTGGCCCTATTGCATCAGCTCATAACTATGAATGGGTTGAGTGCAACTATCAGCAATGCCAAAAGGGTGCCACTACAAAATGATACCTGATGTTGTGGCATTTAGGTTCTTTCGAGTGCAATCCAGTCCCTTCCAAACTCAAAAGATTATGGGCATGCCTTGGAGGGTTGAAGGCGCACAGAGGCAAAGAACATCTGCACATTCCCCCTGCCCTGCCCGTTAGCTACCCTTTGGACCATCTAGCTGTGGCACTTGAGTAGGGAAGAAGGAGCTGGTCTGCTGCCAGCCTACATAGTATCCTGACAAACCTGGTCCCCTCCCTTCACTTCCTCTGGAACACCCCTTTATCCTACTTCAGGTCACTCTCAAGATGGTGCAGTGCTTTCTGTGCTGTAGAAGAAGGTGGTCCAAACATGGAATACCAGGTCCAGGGCCAGAGGAATTTTCCAAGCTGAAAAAGCCTGGCAAAGATGCTGTCTAGGGTGCCAGATTTCATCCACAGCTTAGAGTGGTTTTTCTCTTGTTCATCCTGAAAGTGTACAGGCCAAAACGTGGATCTAGCAGTATTTGGCAAGTCTATACAGCAAGGCATTTGCAGAAGGGAGAGCTTCTGGTTTCCTCATGAACTGGCCACTCTCATTAAGGTTATAACTTATCCTGTACTTTACCATGACTAACGGAATGAATGCTCCCAATTGCCAGATGTATATTCATTTGCTGACTACTGACAGTGTATTAATAAATCCATAGTATTCAATTGCTTGTACTTAACTATCCCACAGCTGTTAACAACACAACCGAGTGAAATTTATTTACCGTAGGCAAAAAGAATGATTACTTTTTCTCACTGTTCAACTGCCATAAAATTAAAGTTGAGCTATACTCTGATTAATTGATATGTTATTGTTCCTGTTAAGTAATTATTTTCAGCAAGGTCCTGTCAATGCAATTTATTATTGGTTGCCACAAGAGGGAAGCTCTAAGCTTGATCAATGGTATGCAACAGAAGCAGCAAAATGATGACTGTACAAAATATTGACAGTTTAAGGAAGGAGCAAGCATGATTGCTTATTGTCTGATGCAATACCAAGGAGCTAAATATGATCCGTGAATTAGATGGATTTGTGCTTTTAATTTCTGAATTAATCTCAATATTGAAAAAGTCTTTTTTGTCTAATTATAAAACACAAATGCATTGCATCGTTTTTGGGTGAGCTCATAAAACAGTAATGATTTTATCTGAGAGAAAGAGTAAAAGATAACCTTGATGCCACTCACAAAGTGTAGGGTTGGAGCCTATAGCTGCTGCTGCTGCTGCAGGAGAGCCTGCAAGGGATGTGGGAACAACCTCTCAGTCAGAGGAGGAGGAATGGAATCTCCCCCCCCCCCCCCCCCCGGACATTCCAAGGCCATGTGATTCAGACATGAAGCCTTCAAGGAGCAGCGTGTCCTGGTTTTAGACACTATGGGAAGTCACAATGAGACAATGAGAAGGAGGGCACAGCAGGCTTAACAAGTGAACAACAGCAAGTAAAAGAGGACAGTCCAGCTATGAAGTGTTGGGAGTTCTAGGCAGGGGGTCCTAAAACAAGAAGCTCCATCTTAAAGGGTCCCAAATCTGTGTTTGGGAGGGAAGAGAGGAATCGGCTCCTTACCTTTGGAATCTCAGTCTAAGGGTTTGGTTGCTTTCTAGTTCTCCATACCCATAACTTGTACTTGCTAGTTTCCATTGCCATAATAAACCTTTACTTAGAAGGTCCTGTGTCTGCTGACTGAAAGTGTGTCACAGAGAACAGCCTCAACAGACACAAGGTTCATACTTCCTTTCAAGGACAAGAGGTGAGAAATCCTTTCCTCCTTTTTGCCAATGTGGCATGGAAGTCCAGGTGGACCAACAGAGATGCCTTGTTGTGTTCTAGACAACTCTGATGGTCATTTGACTGTCCCATCCCCTAAAGACAGACTGTAACATGCCTGAAGTCCTGAACTGAGAAGTGTAGCAATGTCACAGCTCCACTCCCAGAGGGTGACCTGGAGAGGAGACTACCAGTTCCCCAACAAGAGGCTCAAGAGTGCCCTTCTGTACCACCCAGTTGCCTAGCTCTCCAGCCAGTTTAGAGCAGTTCCCAAAGAGGACTCTGTCCGATCCTCTGCACTGCTGTTTCTTGCATTTTCAGTCTGGGTGGCTGTTATGCTGTTCATTTTCCTCCTGATCTGATCGTCTACCTGCCCTGAAGCAGATGCAGCCTCCGCTTCTCCCATAGCCTTGTCACCAACCTTCTCTTCCTGCATGCTCTGTTTGCTCCCACAGAGAACAGGAGAATAGGACTGACAGAGAAGGGAAAGGGCAGAGTGGAAGCAGCTGCTGCATCTTGCTTCACGGCTATGGGATTGTTAAAGAAACAGGATAGTTCTCTGAGTTGTGGCCAATTAGCAACCAGAGTGGCAAATGGGCCACACTGAAGGCAAACTTCTGCTGTCCAGCCCTGGGATTGGATTTTACGGCAGTTCCTCAGGAGTTACATGCTGGATACTGGCTGCCTTTATTATCAGCATTTTTAGAAGAAGGGAAACAAGCCCATAACTCTTGGGAGAACATTTGCTTTTAGACACGGGAAGTGCTGGAGCAAAGGGCTGGTGTTCGCTGAGCCAGAGATTTGTTTCTCCTTACTGAACACAGCACTTAACATGGTGCTGGCTTGATAAATGTAACCTTCCCTTTATGGCCTGCACTGTAGATGAAAATTATACGAATATCCTTCATAAAAAGTGAAAATTATACCTCTTCTGGGACACATTTTTGTTTCTTTTAGAACTTCAACTTCCTTCCTCCTTACAGCAGAGCTACCTAGTCATGATAAATCACATCATTTGTGAAATACAGTAAGCAAAGTATAAAGTAAAATAATGGGTCTGTCTGGATGTTGCTAATTCATTCTTCCTCTCCACTTGGCAGACTGCTTCCGGAAGCCTTTCTTGGCAAGATCCTCTCTTTATCATCCTGCCTTTTGAATTCAGAAGCAACAGCATCCCATAAGTACTGCAGACAAATAAATGAACAGCCAGATCCTATGCTCACTGTTCAGTGTTGCAAGCCGGGATGTTATGCTAGGCATCACACAACACCCATTTCCCCAGATTCACTGAAACTCCACCAATGAATCTTGATCAAAAAGATATCATTATGTGTACATATGTCTGTGGATGGGTGTGGGGGCGGGGGAGTGGTAATGTTCCTGCCAGTCCATTTGTGAAGTGAATGTTCTTGTGCAAACAAGATGCATAGCATACTAATTTAAATTGGAACATATTATTTTGCATGCCTTGTTTCAATTGTATAAAACATGTTGCCCACATCTGTGGAAGTGGCCATAGCTGTGTGGCATGCAAAAGATGCCAGTTTCATTTCCAGAGGCTTCAAGTTTAAAGTCGGCTTGCCACTATTCAGGCTCAAATATGAGCTTTTGGGACTTGTATAAGCAAAAACGAGAGGAAATGAGCCTCCCCCACCCATTTTTCTGCAGCTCAGATTAATATCTGTGCCAGAGGAAGATTTCTGGTCAACCCCTCCATTTCATTCCCATGCATCCCACCCAGTCCTCCAAGATTCCTCATGCTTCTCTTCTAATATTAGTTGCCCAGAGGGTGCAGTTGTGGAAATCGTGCTCAATGCATCCATAGCAGAGAAGTGGGGGGCATATCCAAGGTTTTCTCTGCTTTCTGGAGCTCTGATTGGAAGGAAAGATCCTGGCAACTCTTAGATAATGTATTTTTTCACCAAACAGGCATTGCAAAGCCTCCTAGCTTATAATATGTTAATGATGCAAAGACACATGTCCCAATCCAGGAGTGGAGATGAACATGCAAGAACAGGCTATGCCCCCCTATCAGGAACAAATCAAATGCACATATGAGTCTGAGATTTGTCTTTCTGTCCTGGAATATGTTTTCATGCATATCTATATTGCATTGACATCCAAGAGTCAAAGTACTCCAGTCTGGATAGATGATTTCTGCATTAGGTTGCAATCTGAATTATAACTGCAGGCCCTGATGCAACCAGACTTTGCCTTCTCTAGATTTGGGTGAGAGTCCTCAGTTGTGCCAAATAATTCATGTACAACTGAGAAATGATTGGGAAATGATTCAAATGTCATGCGGCAAGCAACTGTCATTTTCTTATTGTTCGGCAGTCCTGAAATATCAGCGTGAATCTGGTACTGCACATAACTTTTCTTGGGTAGGGAGGGAAAACCAACTGTAGGCTCTCAGTTGCCCTCCCAAGGATCATAGGATGCCCACAAAGTTCTCCCTTCCCTGCACTCTCAGAAAAATGTTCCAATCAAAGCCTTGGGAAATGTACGGTAGTCTTCTTTTGGTGCCCTTCTAGCCTCAGGCCTTGTTCCTTCTTTTCCTTGTACTCTTTTGCTTTGTTTCCATCCCCATCACCACCATTTCCCAGTCTCTGTGTTGTTGTTGTTGTTGTTGTTGTTGTTGTTATTATTATTATTATAACATTTCTATGCCGCCCTTTGCCGAAGCCTCGGGGTGTTCACTGTGCCTTTTCCTTGCTGCTTCTCTCCTTCCGATCCTCTAGCCCTGAGATATCTACTCACCTCTTCACTCACTCTTTCTCCTTGTCATCCTGCCTAGCCTCACTTTCTCCCCTCTACCCCTTTGGTTACTACTCCCCTCCCACACCAGCCTCTAGCCTTGCTGTTTCTCTCCCAGCCCCAGGTTAGCTCACTCTGGACTAGCCAGCCCGCAGGGAAGCCAATAACCCCTGCACAACAACTCCATCACCAGCAGTGAGCCACTGCTACCATTTGCAGGCTGGAGAAGTGAGAAATCACATCTCCTCTCCATCGTGCATATCATGAAACGTGGGGGTGCACACCCCAAGAGAAAGCCTGTTCACATGGAGATCAGTGCTCACATCATCTTCCACTTTTGCAAGGGCTAAAAATCATGTGAATGGAGTCTATGTATCAATAAGTCGGGTATTTTCTTTGAGCTAAAGAAAAAGGGATGCCTACTGCCATGCAAATAGATGTGCCTGGCCCAATCTATGTATAAACTGGATCAAGTGTTGTGCTTGCAATAAATGGAGTGGTATGCCTAGCAGCCTGATATGTAAATAGCTCTGTCTATCTATTTGTTCATCCATCTATTTGACCATCCATCCATGCATGCATCCATCATTCCATTAGATTGCAGTATTGTCCAGTCTGTTACATTGCATTGCAGATTTTCAAGAATTCTCTCTCTCTCTCTCTCTCTCTCTCTCTCTCTCTCTCTCTCTCTCTCTGTGTGTGTGTGTGTGTGTGTGTGTGTGTGTGTGTGTGTGTGTGTGATGTTCCTGGCTCAGGGCTGTAGTATAAAAGTGGAAACATGGGGAAAGCTGGTGTTTTTGCATTTGGGTTACCCTCATCGGTGACCAGGACAAGGTAAGCAAGCACACTGCACAGCTATCACCAGCAGCAGCCCCTGGGCAACTCAGCTGAACTGTGAAGAATGCAATACCTTGCATGCATTTATGATTGTGTTGTTCCTGATCTGTACTTTCTTCAGTATTTTCTTCTCCATTTTATTTTAGTCTATTGTGAGCTGCTTGAAGTGCACACTGATGTAGCAAAATTAGATAGAAATAGTTCATATAAATACATTAAGAACCTGTTTCCTCAAAATTAGACATACTTGGTCAATCCCTGAAGGGTTTGTCTGATAGTGGTGATTTTCAGTTGAGTGTCCAGAAGTGAATTATATAATCAGAACTTTAGGAAGAAAATATGAAGAATTGAATCCTGGTGTTTATAGAATGGCCAGGGGTTCTGATATTTGTAGCTCTATCAATAGCTGTGTAAAATGAACTGTCTGGTTAGCATGACAGAGAATTACATCATTACAGTATGAAATTTCCCATTCATGATTAGAAAGCTACATGCTTCAGCTGTCCAGGTTCCACTATGCATGCAAATGACTGCAGGTGCTCTGTTGCATAAGCATGAGTTGCAGGCAGAGCTGTCCTGTCCTGCAGCCTTCATCTTCCAAAAGCCTACGCTAGCAGAACCCTGTCACCCAGCAGTTTAAAAGCTATCTTGTATACAATGGCAGGTGTAATATCAGATATACAGAAACATTTTCTCTTTACACATTCTGAGCAAACAAAATCTTTGAGTTTATCAGAAGCCCATCTTATGTGCTTTGAATGCTGGCAAGTTTTGAGACTAGGCCTTTATCTAGCAGAGAAGACATTCCCAGGGTTATTATTGCTATACCTATAAGAAAACTGGTTTATGAACTCCAGGAAGTGTGTCTGTGAATTAAATCTCATTAATCTGTTGAAATCAAAGGGCAATGTGTTGAATAGCGATCCTGAGTTCCTGGATCAATGAAACAGACTGTATGCTCCTGCTGAAGGCAGTTAGATGTAGAGTCCAGCACCCTGAAGGGGGAAAATGAATGAATGAAGCATGCAAACCTGCTTTCCTTATTTCTTCTTTGTTAATTACAAGGATGTATTCGAAGATGCCTCCCATTGTCCCTGTCGTCATGACGTGGGTGCCATACTCATCAATGAACTTGGAGTACATTCCATAGTTGTACTGATCAGGGAGCTCCATTAGAGACTGAAGCATGTCTTCATCCAGGACTACGTCATCTCTTCTCATCTTGAAACGGGCAGTTTGCACTTTGGTAAGTGCTCGAATAAATCCCAAATTCTGTAGATAAAAAGTAATGCCTTTTTCTGAAATGTCCTGAGCAACAGACCAACATGACATCACAACTGGCTACGCTGTCATGCAATCCCAGTTTATTTGCTGCACTCAAAGCAATACTTGTTCAGATGCTTTGGTCAATGATGACTCAGAGGGGAGACGCTTAGTGTGTGTGTAGGTTTGAGCAGGAAAGAGAAAGAGGATGTTTTAACACTTTCTCCTGGAGGGGGAATCAGCTGAACTGGTGGGATTTTTTCCATAGCTTTTTTTAAAGGGAAGGTTTGCTTCTTTTTATAACTAAAGCCAGGCTTTTGACTGAGCCAGGTTTCTCACACACCTTCCAACATTCCATATTCTCCCACCCCCTATATGCATTCACCAAATGCTGCTATGTTCAGCTGAAGCAGATCAGGCACAAAGAACTAAGGCAGCAAGGCAAATCATTGGGTAGCTTATGTAAAATCTCTGAAGTAACCCAGCTAGGACCAAACCAAATTTTTCATTGAAAAGCTTTCCATGCAATGGGATGCTCTTGACTGGACTGAAATGTTCCCCAAACTTAGAAAGATAGAAACAGAGCAAGTCAGAAGGGGTCTCCCAGGCCATCTCGTCTGACCCCCCGCTCCAGCCGTCTCCACTCATGACAAGCCTACCATGTGCAAGTCCAGCCTATCCTTAAACACTCTCACTGTTGGGGCTTCAGCCACCTTGCATGGAAGCCCATTCCATACTCTTGGGGTCCTAACCGACAGCAAGTACTTCCTGGCATCCACCCTAAATCTTGGCTCCCTGAACTTCCCCCTCCCCTCCCCAGATGATGGTCATTGCAACAACAATCTGCTATTGTCTTGGTACCCCGCCCCCCCAGTAAACAGAATAACTGTTTTTCTCATCCTGGAATCCATGAAGTTATCAAGTAGCCAGTAAACTCTATGAAGAGGAGAAAGCTAATGTGCAGTATGGGGAAAGGCCTCAAAGGATACACACGGTATGATGGGAATCCTCTGTTCACCCATTCTTTTGGCATCCCAGGCAACTTTATCTTTTTACATCAGAAAGACTGCAGATGGAAAAAAGGACTGTGAATGTGTACAGGGGGACAAAAGATAGTCTCTTCCATAATTCACCACCTCCAGCAGGTTGCTGATGGGTCCCTGCTGTTAACCGTCTAATACATAAGCTTTCCACTTAAAAAGAAAAGAAAATATCAAGTCACTTCTTGCAGCAAAACGTTCCAGTTTGCATTAACTGAAGCGAGATACATTTGCTGCAGGAACATGTTCTCCTAAGACAACTGTTGCTTCTTTCTATTTCCCACTCTATTTGCCACTCAAAGCGTTTACTTATTGATACATTTCGTGTCGCCATGAAGAAAGGTGGGGGTGAGATGGCATTTGTTGTTCTGCTCTGTAATTCAATTTCATTCCCATCACAAGGATCCTGTTTGCTTCAGTGTAATAAGGAAAGCAAACAGAGTTGCTAAGGATCACACATGTGCAATTACATAAACAAATACTATTGTTCTTAAGAGGCATCAGTTACAGAGTGATTAGGCTGTTCCACAAACCAGAAATAAGAAAGGGGTGACTTCTCTTTTACATTACCTTTGATGCATATTGAGTAACATTTCTCAGGGACCCCTGACCTCGTGATAAACTAAAGCCTAGTTCCAAAGATGCAGGCACATTAGCTGGGCCTATGCCGACTGTCATACCAAAACTACTAGACTTGTCTTTTTTTAGAGCATTCAGTAAATCCGTGGCATCATCAAAATACTCTGAAGAAAAGCCAGAATCAGCATGTGCCTGAAATGAAAGAGGGAACAGATGAGTTGGATGGAGATTTTAGACACCATACATATTAAGTTAATGAGGAATGATTCTCCTTTGCCCTGGGAACTCAACCAAATCCAAGCCTGAGCATTTTTCAAAAGTACTGTAAAACCGTCTGCTCACAATCCTCTGTATGCCTAGGCTGGCTGGGGTATTGCTAGGAGTTGAAGACTTTTGCTGTCTAATGCACTCTTAAAAACTATAGACTACAGTTGCTTGACAAACTGTTATCTTGAGACCCTTACTAAAAATGTTTTTAAGCTATGGAGTAGTTTACATGTCGTAATTCATTTTTACATCATGTAAGCAGCATTTATATGACCGGATTGGTGTGTCTGAATGTGCTGTTAGCTTGACGATTTATACAATTTTTAAAAATAAGTGATGTGACTTTTTATTAAATCAACTGGCTGAATATTCCACATTATTCAGAAAATCAGTGAGTTTTGGCAAGAAGAGTTCTGCTCCTGCATCACTTTTTCTGTGAATTGAGGCACCTGCTATGCATGGATAACACCATCCTGGGACAGTACTGGTTGCCTCCTTCTCAGTTGTGTGGAACAGGAAAAAAGTAACTAAAGGCTATCTTACTAATCCTCTACCGAGTAAAGAAAAGGAAGCAGAAGCATCTGTAACTCACAGATCTCCAGATCTGGCTGATGCTTAGATGATACTTAATACGGAAAGCTCTTTTTAAAAAAATTTGGAACAGATGTCACAACACAGCAGGAAAAATTACTGCATTCTGGACAGTGGAGAATTTTAGAGGAGTAAACACAAGGCAGAGAAATGGAATAATCTTTGTCTAGAAAGGGATGGAGAAGTAGACTCTAATCTCCATCAGCATACCCCATGGGGAGGAATGCTGGGTGTTGAAGTCTATCAACAACCGGAAGTTCATGAATTCCCCACTGTACAAAAAAGCCCACAGGTAATTGCACTAAAGAAATAATATTTATTTTGTTCCAATCCATCACTGATGCATCCTTAGCCTTGCAGTCTTGGCCTACAAATACTTACTAGGAACTGATACAAGTGGACATTATATGGTTTCCGAAAATATTTCTCATCATCCCCATAGTACAAATGTTCACATGCAGCTTCATACTTCAGTTCTCGCCATTCTCCATTATAGACAGATTCACACTGGCCCCCAAAGTACCTTGGATCATAGACAATTTGTGCTCCACTCTGTGTAAGGATATTGTATCTTTAACAAAGAAAGACATGGGTAGGCAGATGAGTTTGCTTGTGCCTCAACAATAAAACTAAATTAAATGTGATGGTGTCATTGAAGATGAGGAGGAGGATATATTATATTTGAACCCACTATGTTCCTCTTCTGAGGAACCCAAGCACTTTATATACCGTCCTGAGTGCTTGAAGCGATAGGATGGGATATAAATGCATGTAATAAATCGTAATACATAAATACATAAATAAATACCCCCATTTTATCCTTGCGAGGTAGGCTGGGTTGAGAGTCTGAAACTGGCCATATTACCCAGTGAGCTTCATGGCCAAGTGGAGGCTAGAGCCCAGATGTCTCAGTATCTCTTCATGAAAGGTTTCACCATTTCACTTCTGAGTTGAGATTTATAGCATCGGACTGTAAGGACATGATCCACTGGCATGTCCTTAAGTCCCCAAACTTGGAGGATTAAGGGAAACCCGTGCAAAGCAGCAGCAGCAGCAGCAAAGGCGAATCTGCCGTTCTATTCCACCAATTCTGCATTGCTGCCGCATGGCTGAAAACAGCTGTCTGGCTGGGGCTCTTTGGAGGGTGAGGAAAAGAGGCTGGAGCTGCCTGAGGAGGCCTTGGACCTGGTCCCTGTAGACCCCTCCTGTCCCCACCCTCTTGCAGCCTCATTGAGGTTATTTTTCTAACCACAGAAAGCAGCCAGGGAAGGTCTTTCTCTTCAGCTGGAAGGAGCAGTTGGAAGGGGACTGGAGGTCCCCTTGGGGTCAGAGGCCCCCTTGGGATCGGAAGGCCATGTCTCCCCTCAGAGCTCCAACTCAAAATGATTCTCACGCCTGGGGTGATAGGATAATCCCCTAACTCAGTTTGTACGGTAATACCCAAAGACACAGGCACAATGGACATTCTCCCTCTGAAGATGTGAAGTCCAGCAAATATTCAGATCTCCTTTTGCAATGCTTGTACATCTTATGGTGTCCTTAATTACCATAATGAATTATTGTGGGTCAGTGTCAGAGGTAAGTCAGAATAACTGCTGATTTTTATATTTTCATAGAAAGAACATCACAATATGTTTTGGCACAATCTGAGATCTTTTTCGTATATTTTTTTTAAAAGCTAATTTGTCCTGCAACATTATGGGAACTTACCTGGGAGTGATCTCCATTTAACATTATGGGATTTACATTCAGTTATCATTTAAGTTCCTGGATCACTGTCAGATATGTCAGTGTGGCCACCATTAAAATGTCCTGTAACAACTCCACCCTCCTCTCCTCTCCTCTCCTCCCCATTTCCTTTTGCTTTTGTCTCTGTGTTTAATTACCTATCTGAGGGTGAGCTCTTTGAAAACTAACAGCTACTTATTTTGTGACTTGAAGTTGGTCCTGCTTCTATTTGATTTTTTTCCTGATGAACCAGCTTGGATATGTATATGTCTTCTTGTTGGTCTTCACTGAGATAACACTATTTGGATATAAGTCTCTTAAATTCAGCATCTGCCCATCCCTCCTTAAAACAGCTATGTTCAGTGCAAATGATGTGCTGATCTTATCCCTTATTTTTGGACATCCTGTTATGCTGTCTATAAACTATGGTCATTGTAAATTGTTATGTGGCAGTCATTACATATCTTGTGTAAAAATGTAAAAACATTCATGGTAACTATCAATAGAGAAACTCTGACACAAACTGGACATTTAATAAATGATAAATTTGACAAACAGAAGTTTTCTCTCTGTCTTAATCTTAAGGATTTGTTTCATCATTACTGGCTCTAATCCCATAGAAAGTAGCTAGTCATGGAAGGGAGGAAGGCAGGTCTCCTGAAGCATTTCTGAACCATCCCCTGCCTCTACCCCAAATTTGCCTCAATTTTGGCCAGTCTGGCTTCTTTCTAAAATGTTACTCCTCAAAATGGTCCCAAAAGGTGGGCTAAACAGAACAATAGTCCCAGGTTACATTTAAATTGCTGGGCTTGTCGTGTATTGTATCTGCTTGCATATATATTGTTTTTATAATACATGCAACATTAAGGATTTTAATTTTTGTAAACAACCTAGAGAGCTTTGACTGTTTGGTGATATAAAAGTAAAATGAAATGAAGTGCAGACAAGCACAGCAGGAGGTAAGGAATAGCAACTCACCCTTGTGATAGTCTGAAAACCCCTGGGATCGGATCCAGATCATCACACAGTCTTTCGGGATCCTCGCAATCAGCCTCGTCAGACTCATCCCTACAATCTGCCTCCCCATTGCATACAAGGTGGCGTTTAATGCAGCGGCCTGCAAGACATGGATTGTTCTTGTTTTGCTACCATTGATCAAATTCATGCTCGGTCTAACATGATCAGGTTGGATGTCACAAGTCACACAAATTTGTAGGTATAATCAGGACAGACCTTTCGTTTCCTTCCTTCCTCTGGTTGTGTTCTTCTTTACCTTGCAAATTGAACCAGGGCTGTTATGTACAGCACATTCTATGAGGAATATGTTGAGAAGAGAAGTGGCCTTTTTAATTGAATGGGAGTTGCTTTTCTTCTTTGGACTGCCCATGCTGAAAAAAGGTATTAATAAGCCATGTGGGTTGAGTATGGGTGCCGTGTGGGTTGTTGTTCAAATTGAGGCGACTGTGTTCTGAACACACCTGTGGTAGCAAGCCATGGCTGATTAGTCATGAACATCCTTGAAGAGTGCTCATAGCTTGTTTGTTGGGTTGTGAACCGTGAGTTCACATCATGGTTTGTTAAATGAGGTGGGATCAGACAACAAAATGTTTTAACAAAGTATGGTTCATCAACAGCCTACACTCAGCCCATACTCAGTTCTTGAATGTCTGCTCCCTGGAGATGCGCCATGCCTAGGTTTTGTCACCCACCCATCCAGTTTTTAATAAATCATCTGTATCCACAGTGCTAGTAAAAAGCAACTAGAAGTTTGAGTGGTATGTCTGAAGTGAATGCATTGCTTTTCAACTTGTTGATAATATCTGTCAAGGCTGATGGATCACTTGGTGGCAAGAGAATGGTCGAGAAGTTCAACCAAAGCAACAGTCGTTGTTTTGCAGGGTTGGGTAAAACCTTATTAGTTCCTTGTGTCACTTCATTCCTAGCAAGCTTGAAGTGTCTCCCTCTGGTCATTCATGGGTAGCATGGACCGGGCCAGTGCTTCCTTGGTGGTTGGTGGCTGGTTTGCAGGGAATGGGGTATGAGGCGAGACTGAGGGAACTGGGTCTCTTCAGCCTGGAGAAGAGGAGACTCAGAGGGGATCTGTTGGCGACATACAGGTATGTGACGGGATGTCACATGGAGATGGGTAGAGACCTGTTCTCCCCTGCAGAGGAAGGCAGGACGTGCTCCAACGGAGCAAAGCTCAGGGAGCCAAGGTTCCATTTGGATGCCAGGAAGCACTTCCTGACAGTCAGGACCCCGAGGGTGTGGAATGGGCTTCCACGAGTGGTCGTTGAGGCCCCATCGGTGCGGGTGTTCTAGGATAGGCTGGATGTCCACATGGTGGGCATGTCGTGAGCGGAGCCAGCTGGTGCCAGAGGTCAGACTAGATGGCTCGGGAGGCCCCTTCTGACTCACTCTGTTCCTATGTTTCCTTCCGCCTGTGGTGGAGCAGTTTGTAGAAGCAAAAAATACAGGAGGATGAAGCAGCCTACTTCAAATGATGCCACAAAGAAATAATAGAACAGGACGTCATTGTATTCACTTATTCATTTAAAGCTTTTCTACACCATCCTTCACTAAGTCCCACCATGTGTCTGAGTGGTGCAACACACACACACCCTCCATTTTAAGAGCTCAGGTGCCCTTTTATGCCAGGCACTGCTGATCTCTCTCCCTACAAAGGAGCCTGATCATGTTGCTTGGAGGGTATGCACAAAATCACTTGCAAGAATTCTGAACTTTCCCTCTTAACTGCCACTGTATGAGGGGCGTTCAATGTATTCTCGGTATCAGCATGAAGAAAAAGGAATAATAAATTGAAATAATTTTTATTTTTCAATGTAATCCCCCATAACTTCAATACACTTATTTCATCTAGAAATTAACTTTTCAATTCCCTGTAAAAAATACCCTTCCTCCTTGTCTAAAAAATGTGTGTTAATTGCCGCCTTGAGCTCTTCATCATTGGAAAATCGCTTTCCACAAAGATCTTTATTTTATAGTCACTGGGGGCCAGGTCCGGGCGATAGGGTGGGTGGTTTATTTCTTCGAAACCACAGTCTCGCACAGCAGCCTTCGAAACATGCACCGTGTGAACAGGCACGTTGTCGTGAAGAAGCAACACACCTGCGGTCAGTTTTCCCTGCCTTTTTTCTTTAATTGCTTCTCTTAAATTACGCAGAATGGTTGTGTAAGATGCTGCGTTTATGGTTTCACCTTTTTTTGTCTACTCGATTGATAAAATTCCCTTTGAGTCCCAAAACACTGTGGCCATGATTTTTCCGGCCGATGGAGTGACTTTGAATTTCTTTGGAGGGTCAGCACCATTTTTATGCCACTGCATGGACTCCTGCTTACTTTCAGGCTCATAGTGATGAACTCAGGTTTCATATCCAGTAACAATCCGGTCAAAAATACTTGATGGATCTTCACCACAGAGCTCTAAAAACTCCCTACAGCACTCGACTCGCACTTGTTTCTGAGGCGCCATGAGCATTCGCGGCACCCATCTTGCACAGACCTTTGAAAGGTTAAGATGGTCATGAAAAATAGTAAATATGGTACCAATGGATAGGTTTGTCATCTCTGCTAACATGTTGATTTTTATTTGGGCATCTTTCAATACAAGTTTCTCAATTTTTTTCACATTTTCTTTCGTAGTGGCAGTAACCAGCCTGCCCGAGCGAGGGTCACCTTCAATGCTTTCTCTGCCCTTTTAAATTCACTTGACCACTTTTGAACAGTAGATAATGAAGGTGCAGAGTCCTGGTAAATGGCCACCATCTCTTCGTGAATAATTTTTTGACTTTTTCCTTGTTTTGTAAGGAACTTAATCACAGCGCGGTGCTCGATTTTCTTCAACATTGTCTCATCAGTCATCATGGTCGTCTTTCACTGCGGATTCCTAGGGAACTAATGATTGCACTTATTTGAAATTTTGCATGTATACCCTCAGATAGTGTCATTAGCTAATGAAATAATTAAATTACCCACATCAATAGCAAATCAACCCGATACCGAGAATGCATTGAATGCCCCTCGTACTAAGACCTAAAAAAGCTTTAACAGGGTATCTTGAAGTTCTGAATAATCAATTATAAGTTCATGGTGCATTTCTTCTTGTCAGGTTCACTTTTTCAAAGCTCCAAGGATGCATTTGTGATCCCAGTTTATGGTCTTTAGAAGCAGCTACAACATTCTGGTCGAAATGAACCTTGCCAGCTTAAAAAGATTTTGGAACTGGGAAACATTTGAGAAATTTGCTTCCATAATGGTTGTGCCTTTGGCATTCTTGGGAGCAGCTTCCCACCACCTCATTTAGGCTCTTTAGTGCTAGCGTATCCAGAAACATTCCTGAGAAAGCAAGCACATCATTGGGCATTTGGGCATTTCTCCTAATGATTAGTTGAAATCTGCTACCCTGAAATGCCAACCACTGGTTTCTAATTGTGCCATCAAGATCAACAGAGAACACACTGCTCTGTCTTCTGCAAGGCATCCTCCCTGAAGTTTGCAGATGACTATCATGTCACCTCTTAATGTTCTTTCTTCATGGTAACATAGCCAGCTCTTCCAACGGTTCCTCACAGAATTTTGTTTCTCTCACCATCCTGTCACTCTTCTCCAGAGACACTCCAGATTATTTCAGTTCATTCAGTTCCATTAATAAATCTCAGCCCAGTTGATCAATATCCTTCCCAAAGTGCCACACCCAGTACTGCACACACATCCTGCCTGGCATGGTGCAGCGTGCCTGGCAATCATTGCAGGCACTTGTACGCCATAACGACAGATAGAAAACCACCCTGAGCTGAGCCTTTTATGTGTCTGGGACGTATCGTAAAGCCCACTCGAGCCCGTCTCTAAGCTCTCGCTACACGTAGCTGCATGCTGCATGGTAAAAGCAACGCCTGTTTCAGAGAAGCACCTGCACCTTCCTTTAGAACTGTGATTGCATTCACAGGGAGAGGATGTTTAAGGCTTCCTTCCCCAGCTGCAATTCTTCTTTAATTTGAGCCCCAAACCCTCAGTGTCTTGTGCAGCAATTGTGGATAATAAACACCACTGCCATACCATCGTACATGGTTGAATCTACTCCATTGGCTCCAATGAGAGAGGAACTGTTTGCTTTGTTTTCTGTTTTACTAACCCTAATGGCCACACTGATAGGGGGACTTTCTATAATGCCACCACTGCAGCAAAGAAGGATTAAACCTCCCCAACCTATGTAGTGTAGTCCTGATCAGGGGCCCGCGCATTTCTTAAAATGTGCAGCTACCTATTAAAAATAATATGCAGGTGGATCCTAAGGGTGATGTTGGCCATCAAGCAACAGAGGCAGAAGGGAGAAGATACACAGAAAGCTTTTCACATCACTCCAAACTTCAAGCAAGATCCAGAAGCATGGTTTTAGGCCCTCAGACTCATTTTAGGTCCTTCAGGGCCTAAAACCATTATAAGCTGTCATGTAGATACTTCCTGTTTCTTTACCGAAGGAAACATGGCTCAGAAGTGTTTCCACTACACTACTGGAGTGGTACAAGATGGAGGAAAAGAAATGCAAGCCATTGTCTGTCCTGTCGTGGTTATTGTTGTTATATGCTGTCAAGTTTTCTACAACATGACAACTGTATGACTGAAACCCTCCAAAATGTCCTGTCTCTGATGGCTCCACTTAGTTCTTCCTGACAGCTTCCTTTCTTATCTCATATTTGGTCTTCCCTTTCACAGTCTTGCCTTCTCATGACAGCCTTAATTTTGCCATTTTTGCTTCTAGGGAAAACTCTGCCTTGATTTGAACTGGGACCCTTTTGTTTGCCTTTCTCTCAGTCCAGGGTATTTGCAAACTTCTCCTACAGCATGCATGTTCTTCCTGACAGCTTTTTTTACTGATATGATTTCTCTCCCATACATGGTGAATGGGAATGCAATACTGTGAATGAACTTGGCCTTGGTCTCCAGTGAAACAGCCTTACATTTCATTATCTTTTCCAGTTACTTCATTGCTGTATATAGTTAAACACTTTTTAATAGCACATCACAACTTTATATAACATGTTATATGTTGGGTATACACAGTTAACATGCTAAACCATGGCTGCTTATAGCAAGCACAATCACACTTTGACTTCATATATGCCTCTCTTTCTGACACTCCTCCCCTTGAACAACTTCTAAATAGACTCTGGGTTTTCAGAAACCTAGCTAGGATTTGATCCAAGGTTGGATCCTGGATTGCAGACAAATTATATTTGAAGAACTATAGTTTGCTAAGAACCCAGATGTTCATTTGGAAATTATGGAATGTAAGTGGAGGAGGACTTAGAGAGGAGGTCAACATGTGCAAGCCCAAGGCTATGCTTTCAAATGTTCACCAGATCATGGTTGGGCTCTATGAGGTGCTTAAGGCATAATGTCAAACATTACATTAAGAACCAGAATAGAAATAGCCATATTCTCACACAACTGCCTCTTCTTTCCCCTGCTGTAGCCTGTGATTCTTTTACATTCTGTGCTAGTTCTTTTCCTAGAAACTGCAGTATTGTGGTTGGCTCCTGCCTGCAAATCAGGATTGGAAATCTGCCTCAGTTCTGGTCTCTAATCCTAGTTTTCAGGGTAGGTGCAACCAGAATTTGTTGGCTTGGATTTTGGTTTGCAGGAAATAATTCAAACTGAAAAATCTGGTTTTCAAGCCTCAGAATCAAAAACAAAACAGTAATTAGTATATGCTACTTTGCATATGTTCTAAAGACTCTCTGCATCTCTAAAGGGTCCTGTCTCCTGAGAACACCCCTATTTTTAAAAGGACAGTGGAAAGGAGGGCAAAAACAGAAGGAAAAAAAGATTCAAGGGAGGCAGCAATCAGTTGCAAAAGAGATCATGAGGGCTGCTGTACAAGTGACCAACCTGGAGAATGTTCCATCCCAAACAAATACTCGGCCCTGGGAAGTAGCACAGTTAATTGTTAAAAACAACCAGCCCAAATGAAAATGAGAAGCAACTGCTGAATACTACTAACTCCTTGCAATAGCAACTGTCTTCCATGTTTTTCGGCTGCCTATATCCCTCCTTCAAGGTACGGGCTAAAGCAGCTTACCTCCCTGGCTGCATAACAGGACTGGCTTTGGTAGATCCTCAGGTGAGTCTTTCATTATCTGCATGAAGCAATGAGCCGTAAATATGTCTATAGTGCTTTTACTATGGATGCAACACATTGTACTTCCCACGTGCTAATACGCAAGCTGAGATACAGCTGCATCATGAAATCTGAGCTTGCTGACTTTGCTCATCAGAAACAAAATGTACAAGAAGATGTGCCTTTCAGAGAAAAGTGTGCATAAAATGCATATATTTGATCAATGTATGCACAAAACTGTGATATATCAATGGAAAATAATTGGGAAATGTACTCATTAGAAAAATAAACTGAGCATATGCATACATTTGAGACAATGCATGGCTTAATAAAGAAAACCTATGTGAAAGCAGGAAAGAATAAGTGTAATCCTGAACTTCTGACAGTGCCTGCAAGATCAAAATGGTCAAATCCATCCCTCCTTAGCTGCACGTCATTGTGTTCCATTTAAGCACAGCTGACATTGAGGACTGGCTTGGCTGGACACCTGATCTGCCAAAAGCTCTAGAACCCGTTGCACCTCATCACCTGTGCAACCCACTTGCTCACCTACCCCTTGCTCTGGCCCTGGTAATGGGGTGGTGAGGAAGAGGAGTGGAAGATGCCACTGTCCATTTGCCTGGCAAACGAGTGAGGGGGAGAAACCAGGAACAAAGGCATTTGAAAGCCAAATTCACTAAGGGTAGGGAATGTTAAGTTGTTTTGCCCAAAGCTGCAGTAGAACCTGGAACTGTGTTTACATATTCTTGCATGAAACTGCAGATTTGTACCTTGGCCATATGCAGTGTGCTGCTGAACAAGGCTTGTGGTGTGGAACAAGCTTGTACTGGTTAATGTGCCTGTGATGGAATCCGACTTACCAGTCTCCCGACACCAAAAATCAGCTCCGCAGTCCTCATTCATGACACACGTTTCCGCTGGCTTGCATGCTGCTGCATCCCAAAGATCACCCAGACATCCACTACCCCCATATTTGGATGGCTGTAGTAGTGTTCTATATCTGTACTATAAAATGCATTTTCAAAAAGAAAAAAAATAGTTATGAATTATATATCCCAAATGATAAAACTTGTATTAAATATGAAGAAGCAATAAAACAGATCTATACCATAATTTAACCTAGTAAGAGGAAGCATTAATTATTTAGACATTAAAAATGTAAAACAAATTAAGCCTTTATCAGTACAGTAAAAATTACTTAGAGCCCAGCTTGAAGTGCATGGTGATGAACACGAAGGGATGGGATTTTAGTTATCCGCAGTGATGCCTGATTGCAATGGAGGAAGTTGCGTGTGGCTTCCCCAGTCCAGTTCCTTGGGAACCTGGGAGGTGAGGGCTTCTCCATGTATCAGGGGCTGGGAGGAGTTTTCTGCCTAAACTGCATTGCATAAATGATGCGGCGACCGATATGCAGCAGAGTCCTCTACTTCCTATGCATTCATTTCTTTCTAAAAATGATTAGGGAGCATACAATCATGCCAGGAAAACTTGAAAGCAAAAGAAAAGGAGGAACGCCAATTATGAAATCAGGTTCAAAAGGAAGCCACAGACTAGCGAAGTGATGGTGAAACTATTAGAGACCGCTTGCCCAAACTGCAACCCAAAACCCACTTCTTTAGCCAACACTTCAATAAAACCTGAAAACTGATGTTTTAGTTTAGAAAAAAACAACTCACAGCCAATCCAAGCAATTATAAATCCTTGGCAGCACACTGACCGGCCATGCGAAAGCTCGGATCACTTGTGGCTAATGATTTGTGGCTCGGAACATCATAACCTGGCACCACTACTCCCTTCCAAGCATGCGCATGGCCCCTACGTACTCTGCTATCCAATGCTCGACTGCTGGGGTGATGCTGGGGTGACTTGGCTCGCATGCCGACAGAGAGGGCTCTGCGTGCCCACTGTGGCGTGCAAGCCAGAGGTTCGCTACCACTGGCCTAACCCTACCCTGGTGCACAAACCTAACCCTAATATAGGGGTAAAGTTACATTGTAAGGAGGGCGGTTTTGAAAAAGCCGTCTTTCAGAAGCATTTTCTGCACAGCTCATCATTTCTGCCCATTTTAAAGATATTCCAACCATCAAAACAATGCCAGGAAACCACATTTTTCTAAACCTAACCCTACCCGGGTTCACACCCCTAGCCCAAGGATAGGGGTAAAGTTCCATTAAAAAGAGGAAGATTTTCAAAAGCCGTCCTTGAGTAGTTTTTCTGCCTGTCTCCTTATTTCTGTCCATTATAAACACATTCCAACCATCAAAATCATGCCAGAAAAAATCAATTTTCGAATCTTAACCTTATCCTGGTGCACACCCAAAACCTTAATATAGAGATAAAGAAGCATTAAAAGAGGGAGATTCTGAAAAAGTCTTCCCTGAGTAGCTTTTTCTGCACAGCTCAACATTTCTGCCCATTCTGAAAAAATTCAAACCATCAAAATCATGCCAGGACACCTCACTTTCTGAACCGTAACCTTATCCTGGTGAACATCCCTAACCCTAGTATAGGGGTTAGGTTCCATTGAAAAGTGGGCGGTTTTGAAAAAGCCATCTTTGAGAAGCATTTTCTGCACAGCTCATCATTTCTGCCCATTCTAAAAACATTCCAACCACCCAAACCATAACAGGAAACCATGTTTTTCTAACCCTAACCCTACTTGGCTGCACACCTCTAACCCTAATATAGGCGTAAAGTCCCATTAAAAAAAGGGAGATTTTGAAAAAGCCATCCTTGAGTAGGTTTTTCTGCACAGCTGAACAGTTCTGCCCATTCTAAACATATTCCAACCATCAAAATCATACCATGACACCTTGCTTTCTGAACCCTAACCCTAGGCTGGTGCACACCCCTAACCCTAATATAGCTGTAAATTTCCATTAAAAAGAGAGTGGTTTTGAAAACACCATCTTTGAGAAGCATTTTCTGCACAACTCCCCATTTCTTCCCATTCTAAACACATTCCAACATTCAAAACCATGCCAGGAAACCATGGTTTTCTAACATCAACCCTACCCTGGTGTACACCCCTAAACCTTGTATAGGGTTAAAGTTCCATTGAAAAGAGGGCGGTTTTGAAAAAGCCATATTTGAGAAGCATTTTCTGCACAGCTCAATATTTCTGCCCATTCTAAGGATATTCCAGCCATCAAAACCATGCCAGGAAACCACATTTTTCTAATCCTAATCCTACCCTGGTGTACACCCCTAACCCTACTATAGGGGTAAAGTTCCATTAAAAAGGGAGATTTTGAAAATGCCTTCCTTGAGTAGCATTTTCTGTACAACTCATCCTTTCTGCCCATTCTAAACACATTCCAATCATCAAAATCATGCCAGGTCACCTCGCTTTCTGAACTCTAACCAAACCCTTGGTGCACACCCCTAACCCTCGTATAGGGGTAAACTTCCATTAAAAAGAGCGTGATTTTGAAAAGGCCGTCCTTGAATATAAGTTTCTGCACATCTCAACATTTCTGCCTACTCTAAACACATTCCAAACATCCAAATCATGCCCAGACACCTCGTTTTTCTAACCCAACCCTACCCTGGTACACACCTTTACCTTAATATAGGGGTAGACTTTCATTGAAAAGGGGGACGTTTTGGAAAAGATTTTCTTTTGTATCATTTTCTTCACAGCTCAGCATTTCGGCCCATTCTAAACACATTCCAACCATCGAAATCATGCCAGGATACCCTGTTGTTCTAACCCTTATCCTTCCCTGTGCCAAATCTGCAATAAAACTTGAAAACTGAGGTTTTTGTTTAGAAAAAACAACTCAGAACCGGTCCAATCAAAATATATATGTCCTTGCCTGACCCCTGACCGGCCATGCGAAAACTCTGACGAGTTGCAGCTCATGAGTTGTGGCTCGTGACGTCATTGCATGGCACCCCTACTCCTTTCTGAGCATGTGCATTGCTCTTATGTGCACTGTTTTCCAATGCTCGGCTGCTGGGGCGACTTAGCTCACGTGCCGACAGAGAGGTATCTGCGTGTCCTCTGTGGCACGCGTGCCATAGGTTCGCCACCACTGGCCTAGAACATACAAGAGCTGAGCAGGGCTGTCAAGGCCAGGGCATTTGAAGGATTCATTCATAGGGTTGCCATGATTCAGAGATGACTTGACAGCATAGAGCAGCAAGATCTTTCATCCAGTGTAATAGACAATAAAAACACAAATATTCTCTTCTTATGCTGCTAGCAGGCGTCCTAGTGGGTAGTAACCAAAATTGTCCTGAGGATATTGGCAATGGTGCTGTGGTAGCAGAACACAACTTGATTTGCACAATGGGAAAAAAACCTAGAATTCAGAGGCGTGAACCGAATTTTGAAGAAAATTATGCATTTTTGCCATTTTTGAATTTTGACAGAATTTATATAAGGATTTTTTCCCCCTGTTTCTCTAAGTACATTTCACGGGTATGTTGATTTACAGGTGTACAGCTCAGGAGCACCCCAGAGTTTCATACCAATTTTACAGAAAATGATTATTTTATTTGTTCCCATGGAAGGGATACATGATTGCAATTAGGTTATTGTAATTATCATACTTTACTATGCTCTTTATGGTTGTTTATGGTTTATAACTCTTTTGTATTTGAAATTGGTCAGTATTTTTACTATATCTTATTATTTCTTTTTCTTGAATTTTTGGTGGCTTATGGCTATGAGCAATGAAGACTGACCAGTAGCGTACCATTATTATCCTTAGCTTAGGGATAATGTTGGTACTACCCATAGGCCGCAATCCCACTCAGTCCATTAATTTCATTAGTATTCCATGTAGACAAATCGTTTTCAAATTAAGCTACAATTCTGCCTCTGTTAGTTATGCATCTATCTTCCCTGCAGCCTGAAATTTTTTAAAAAAGAAGATAAGAGTGAAGTTGGCTTTACCTTTCTTTCCTGACAAGAGAAGCATTCAGTCCATTGTGACCACTGGCTTAGCTGACAGTTAATTTGAGTGGGTGTTCCAATTTGTCTTCTTGATCTCCTAAAGAAGGTAAAAGTGATGGACAGGACTGAAAGTTCCCATATTACATACTTCGGTGGAAATCTTTCACTGAGTCACAGTGTTGAATTATAAAGAACAAGTGGGACATGCAACAAAACTCTGCCTCATCCAGTGCTGTCACCTTCATGCTTGGTTCTCTGTGTCTTCCCACCCAACCGTCTGGATACCATGCGCACTGGGCCCTTGGAGCAACATCCAAGAGTAATTGACTGTGCACAGCCAGTCCTGCGGGGTCTCTTGTGTAAGCAGTCCCTACTGCATGCTTAATGTTGATTCAGTGCTTTTGTGAGCAACCTGAAGCAACCAGAAACATTCATTTCTGGGAGGTTCAAGTCAGCAGAACTCCCATGAGGGGGCTCTGCAGACCAGCCACTGTACAGAAACCATAACTTCCATTCATAACAGGGCTTCCTATGGGAAGCACTAAATCATGACTGTGCAGTCCACAGGGTTGCTTGCACGGTGGAGTTGATTGCTCTGACCACATGCACAGAAGCCGTGCTGGGCTGAATGTGAAGAAAGGCAGGATGGGATACTGCTCGTGGAGGAGGCTCCCCTGAAAATGGCTTCTGTACTTCTACAGACTACAAGCCTCCTCTGTTTTGCAGAGATGGTACATTTTTGCTATATAAGCCATGGCACCCACCCCTGAAAAGTGGTGCAGCTAGGTAATTTTAGGACCTGGACTTGATGGTCTAATGTGGGGTGAGGGGGGGTTGCTTTAGATAGTCATTTGTATAGTCAGCTCTGGACCACAAAACTAACCTTTATTGTCTCATTCTTCTGTGCAACTTCCATTTGGCTCTTTAGAACAGCTTCTGATATGTTAAAGCAAAAACAAATCCATGTGTTTGCCAACCTTAACTAAAAAGCACTACTCTGAGTGGTGCAATTTCCCATTTTAAACAGGATGACTTTAGGAAGAGAATGTAATTTGCTTCTGCCAGCCTAATTCTAAACACACAACATTTTGTGGCAGAACGGAATAAATTAATTTAAGTAATAAATAAACAAATAAAACTTCTGTAACCATGTATAATTCTACCTGGCCTCCTTGACTATGAAATATTGTTCAAATAGGTAGAAACGATTCAAGGACAAGCTACTTGCCACTCCCCCCATCGTGCCCCACTCTGGCTGCTCATTTGGCAAATCTGGGCAGCTGGGCCGTGGCATCCACCCGGGGTCCAGCCGTAGCCGCACCGCTGCTCAGAAGTACAGGAGGTGAGATGAAGAGAATTGTAAGAGAACATTCTTCTCCAAAACCAAGAGCCCAGTATATTGCCACTGTTGCAGTGTGTTCCCAATTCTGTTTCTCCCCTTGAAATGTCCAGGCCTGGCACTGCTTACATGGCATCTTGTTTACATGCTGTTTACATGGGCAGTGGTAGACATGGAAAGATACGGGGCTCAGGCCAATGGGACAAAAGTGTGTGAAGCAGAGACAAACAGTGGTATCTCGGCTCACAAACACCTTGGTTCACAACCAAATTTTGATTTGGGTTGCAAACTCCTCATTGGGTGTGCTGCCTCTGTCTTTCCTGTAGGAGCGCGCCTGTGATCCCGCACATCTTCCCTGCACGAACATGACTGCAATCGTGGCCATCTTGGGGTGGGTGGGGAGATGGTCACGGATGTGCTGGTTGGGGAGGGGGGAGATGGCCATGATCATGCTGGTTGCTCTGGGTGGGGGGGAGATGGCCGAGATTGTGCCCATCTTTGCTGCAGGAGTGCGCCTGTGTTGTTGCAGGAGACAGTGCTGGAGGGGAGCAAGGAATAGATTGCCGAGTTGCATTAGGCTGAAAAGCCGCAAACCATCCTGAAGCATGGTGGAAAGATGCCAAAATCAGAAGGTTATAATCAAATCTTGCTTTTGGATTCTCTCACAGCATCTTATTACTGCAGTGCCAATAAAATGGCATTTCAAAGAGCACCCAGGCACTACCTTACAATACTAAAATAGAATTAAAGAACATTAATTCACATTGGAAAACACTTTCAGACATGGAGGTGCACGTCTCACATACGTATGCATCTGCTTTATGGTTCAGGTAGAGAACTGAATATCTACCATTTTCCCTGTGAAATCAAAAGCAGTTCATAGCTGGTAAAAGAAGAAATTCAGTCAGTACTTGTATGAGATCTATGTGGATGACTGTTCAGAATGGAGTGCCTGAAGACTATCCCCTGTCAGAACTGGGTATGTTTAAGAAACATGTTGTTAAAGTACTTGCTGACTAAATCTGCAAAGTGCAGACCCAAATACAAGTTGCAGTCAGAAATGCATAAATTTCTGAGCTTACAGTGCATTCTGAAACACACACAATATTTTATACAACATGTGCACCTTTGAACAATGTCTTTAAACCATGCAAAGATTCAGGAGAAGTGATGTAATAGCTCGTGTGGAAGGACAGTCCTCCAGCTGGGCAGGTGATTTGCCCTTTCCTTCCTCCCCTGTTTTTGGGTGGCAATTTGCATGAAAGTAGCGCACATCCTAGAGGTGTTTCCAGGTGAAATCTGAAAAGCTTTAGGAAAACAGCTACAAGGACTAAGCAGAAATGATGCATGAAAACTCCTTTTAAAGGCTTTTAAAAAAGGCTGGCGATGTTTGTAGCATAGCCATCTCATGGTCCTCTAAAGTGCACTGATAGAAGATTCTGGTAAAAAGTGTAAGATTGGAAGATAAGTCATCGCTGAAATGCACCACTTGATCATAATTGCAGTATTTAGTAGCTAAAGTTAATGACACTGGAAATGCAATATTTCCACATCACATCTACCTAATGAAGACACGTCCTACAGCAGGTTCTGTTGTTTTCGGAGGGAAGCCCACTTCACCTTAGGAAATAACAGAGCTTCTTCTGAAAATGTATCTTTTCTCCATATCCATTGCAGAGGGTACAATAGTTTTCCCTCTTTCTTCTTCCTTACTTTGGAATCATGTGAACTGGACAGTATTAGGCCTTAAAGTATGTCAACCTTCAGTTATTATGAATAAAAAAATTCATGTGGGAAAAGAGTCTATCCACTTTGTGGCAGCTTCTCTAAAGCTCATCAGAATAAACCATCTTTTCAGTCCAAGTAAGTTAAATGAGTAGGTGCATTGTTGATGACGATGATGTTACGATTATTATGATTCTATGATTTCTGTGGCTTTAACAGTCAACTGTTCAGTGTAATATCCAGAAAACTGGACTGGGTCCAGGGAATGGGGCCTGTAAATGCTCTCAGACCAGCTATTATTTCTTTCATTTCTTCCTTTTAACTCTAAAACTGGCATAATGGTGAGCAGCCTCACAAAGCCCACGTGCGCTATGTGACTGAAGGAGCTCTGGCTACTCAGTTACTGAAAGGCAATGCTTGAGAGAACTTTCAGAGCGAATGCATCGACATTCTGGAGTGATTACTTGAGTCCTTCCATTACCTGATAACAGGAACATTCTCTGGTTGTTTCATATAGTCTTGTCAGAGCTTGTTTAGCCTCGAAAAAAAAAATGGAAGGATAACTAATACCCATGAAGAATGTTCACCTGCAGGTGTTCATGCGTCAAGTGAGACACTGGACACAGTCCTTAATCTGGATGAATCATTCCATAGGATAGGTAGATGCAGGAATTCCTATGCAGGTATTTGCACACAAGCCAATTCTATGTGCAGGCACATGCACCCAGTCTCCAAACATCCCGGGGCCACTGGCTGTTTTGCAGTATTTTGTACAGGGACTTTTAAACATGTTCAGGTGAACCCTTGCACTTTGTTTCCCTGAACAGGTACCCAGACTTATCAGATCCCGTTTAGATCTTTACATCCTCAGAGAGGTTTGCCTGGTGCCCACACTTTTTTCTTTTTGGTGCCAGGTGAAAACCTTTTTATTTTCCCATTATTTTAATGTTCAGTTGGTTTCAGTGTGGTTTTATCTTGTTGTGTTATCAGATGCTGTGCTATTTTATTTTCTGTTTTAGAAGACCTTTCACCCAGCCAGGGGTGCAGGGACATTTGGACATTTGGAGGCAGGCCATGGATGCTCGCACACATCTAGTCCCTGCTTTAGTTGTAGGTGAAGCCTGCGCAGGACTACTGGCATAGATTATAGGTGTACTGTACACCTGTCTGCCACACTGAGGATGCAAACGTCAGGCACAGTCCAAAGAACGACGTGGCTAGCAGAGCTAGCCAAGCTTCTGTTTCTTAAGCAGGAACAGCAGGTTTATGCCCCCAGCAGGAGCGAGAAACCAGGATGTGATCAAAAGCAGTACAGCTCTGCGGTAGCAGATCACTCCCTTCATGTGGCAATTCCTTGACATCTCTAGTTAAAAGGTATCAGGAAGCCAGGGATGGCTAAAGACCTGAGACCCGGAGAGTCACTGCTAGTGAATGTGTGTAATAGATAATGGCCTTGTTTTTTCCTGTATAAAAATACTTCCAGAGACTAACAAAAACCTGCAAGATTGTATGTATTCCCACACTATGAAACACAGTGATGATTTGAATCCCTCACATTCCAGAATAAGGCACATCCAGGCAGATTATTAATTGATAGGGAGGGGGAAGTCCCACATATCCTTACTGTTGAGTTCTGTCATTATCACTTACTGTACATTAATGCTGATGGTTGATTGACAAGCAGAATAAAAACAGCAAAGACTTTAGTGGCACCAGCAAATTCATCATGGCATGCACTTTCATAGGTTTTAACCCATTTAGTCTATCACACTGTTTGTCTTAAGAGACTGTGTTGAGCAGGGAAGTGGTACTAATTAGAAGAAAGAGGGATTCATCCAAAGCTGCAGAAGAAGACTCAATAATCAAGAGATGAGCCTGTGGATACTCTTCACTGTATGCTAGATCAAATCACAGTGTCTTTGTGGACAAGCACCAAAATCCATTAGTCAAACATATTTAAGAGGGCTAGACTAACAACTAATTTTAAAATATATTTAGCACTACATGTTTCAGCTTTTTAAGTTTCTGTCTTCATCAGCAGCAACAATGCTAAGCTGATACTAAGAGAGGCAGTTTGAAATGCTGGAAAACTAAAACTCCTAAGAAGAAAAAAAGAGATTTCAGTCATATAAAGCTTATGAATTGTACTTCTGGTTAAGGCCCTCTGAACTGAAATTTTTGTGTCCATAGGTCCCAAAGTTTTCTGTCAGTTATGTTAGTGCCCATGTTTGTTTGAATGGAAGCAACTGGAAACCTAGGACAATTTACATGCAAATGAGTTAAAATGTCTTCCAACAAGCTTCTCTAGGGTCGCTGCTACTGTTTTGGTGCAGATAGCAGCCTTGTGGTTAGAGAATCCTGTTCTTAGATCCATTGTGATTTTTCCTACATATCACATATGGCTTTTTTATTCAATTAAATAAAATATAATAGCAGAAGTACATGTTACTGATTGTATAGTTGCAATACTTTCTGTTACCAACTGTGCACTTTAAAAAAGTGGTTTTCTGGGGGTAACTGCAGGTAATGCAAAGGACTGACTCTGATGAGAGTCTGGGTTGCAAATACTTTGCTTTAGTGCTGCTTTAACTGGTAATGTATAAATTGGTTGCTTTTCAGAACATGATGCATGCTGGAGAATGAATGGTTTCTGCTTCATGAGCACAATAGGATATAATGCAGTAGCTGTCTTAAATTATCTGGGTAGTCAGATAATTTGGGTTGGTAGTCCATAACAAATAGAATGCATTTCCACCCAAAGATTTAGCTTTTGTTGAACCTGGATATCACTGATGCCAAATTGATCAGGAACTCAATAATGTGACGAGTGTCTCCATATTTTTGGAGTTGCACTATTTCTATTTCTTACATATTTTTACTTATGATTTACTGCATCAATACAGGATCCAGTGAGTCCTTGTTGTTTTGCCTTCCTTTTGTAGCTCTTTACACCTCTTTTTCTCTACCCAAATAGACAGACAGACGGACAGACGGACACTCCTGAATGCACAGACACACATGTACACATGCATGTGTGAACACATTTGGTTCTGGAAGCAAAAAAATGTAGTATCTCTGTCAGTTTTCCAAAACACATTCAATAGGTTCACCTTCACCTAGATTTTAAATTTGCCTCTTCATTATCTTGCTTTGTTTGATAACTTCATCAAACATCAAAAATCTGTTCTTTATTCAGTTTCAGCGAGGATTAGTAGAATAAATCTTCATAATTAAATGTAAATCTTTCCCTCCCTTAGCCTCATCTCCTGTTCCTGTGTCATATCCCAATTACCACTGATATCATTTTTTGATCTTTCTACATTATATTTCTTTTGGACAAGTTTCCAATTAGCAGTCAGAGAAGGCCCAATAGAATTTCCTTTTAAACACACACACACACACACACACACACACACACACACACACACTCTCTTCATTAGCCAATAACATATTAAAAGTTAAACCTATGCAAAAATTGTATTGTTTTTGTTTTGTTTTTTTACATTTTTCTACATTGTTTCATTCTCATAGCTCACAGTGCTTTTACACAGCATGGGTGAAAGCTAAATATTGAATTAGAATAGGAAAATGAGAAGTGTGGAATGAAACTCCTATCCCAAAGCAAAATGCGGCTCAAAATGAAATGTATTAAAAAGGTCTAATTATAAAACTGTACAGTGGCTTGTGTTACAGCCCTGTCACTATATTGTTTCAAGACTGGTATAAATAATTTTTTAAGCTTCTTGTAGGTAATAGTACCCAGCTACTACATTCCTGAGCATTAATTGATGCACCAACCAGATGGACCACAGTTTTTCCAAGTAAGGCAGTGTCTTATATTACATAAAAATAGACTTACCTCTGGGTTGGTGATCCCGTTAGATTACTGTTCGCTGCAGCTATATCTTGACATGTTAGAAGGTAAGCCATCAAGAGCATCATAGGTATCTTACTGAGACAGAAAGCCATTTCCTAAGCTTGAAAATTAAAGCTTTTGGATTTTGATTTGGAGACCTTGGGGTATCTCTTTTGGGAATTAGCTGGGTATTTGGGTGTGTGTGGTTTAAAAATATAGAGCACCCAGAAGGTGAGGCTGCTGTGAATCACTGGCAAAAGGCTCAGGCTGTGTTCTGAAAGAAATCACCCTTCAGGAAACAGATTCCCAAGCATTGGGCAATGGGATCTCTCTCAAAAGGTTCTTGTTTGCATATTAAAGTCAACAAAGTGTTATCTGTGGAACTGCACTGAATCCTCGTCGTTATTCAGCATAACATTTTTCTTAAGAAAAAAACTAAGCTATCCCTTGATAATGAAGTCCTTAAAAACCCAAGTCTCAGGAAAATATGATCAGTTACTTCTTGTTAACTGCTTGATTGGTACAGTAAAGCCAAGCAATATAACTGCCATCTATTTACAAGGGAATTTATTTGGCCCCATATATATATATATATATATATATATATATATATATGCGCATGTATGTATTCTCTTTCTTGTATGACACACCAATAGCTGGAGCAATTCCAGATACAGGAGTAGCATTTAACTCACATTAACCCCTTGGAGATGTCAATATTGTTTAGAAAAATGGGCTGCCTATAGAAAGAAGTGCATGTCGTATAATTGGGGTGTTTGAATGCAGAATCTGGGTAGCTGGATTCATATGATTTAATGGTGCCTGGATGGAGACCCTGTCCTATTGCTTCCTTTGCTATTTGGTAAATGGTTGTCTGTTTTCATGTGGTGGGAGTCAATGTCCAATTGTATGAGCATGTTCCCAGGGGTTAATTTGTAAACAGATTGATGCCAAGCCTGCCAAGCCTGGAGTCCCTGTCAATAATACGGCTCCTGAACTATGAGCCCTGCTCAGTTTAATCACAGGTTCACTGTGAAGAGCAAGTATTCCGTGTGTTTCTCTTTCTTATTTTGCAGTGGTTCCTGAAGTGAACTCCATCATTCAGAATTGGTTCCCAAGTTCTGCTTTGGTGAAATGTAGGTTAGATTAGGCCTAGACCATAAGAAAATGGTAGGTGTTAAAGACAGGTATGGGTAATCTTGTTGGAAGAGTAGGTGTCCAGGTAATGTAAAAATCAATCTGGACCTAATTTGGCTAATTAGTTACCAAGCAGAGCTGATGATCCAGATATTCCCATGTAGGAAAGCATCGCAAAATGATACATGGGATCATGCTGATAAATTCACTTGGGAGAAAAAATATGCAAACAGTGCAGAGCCTTAAAGGAAATGACAATTCATTTTTTTCCATTGCCTGTCCTGGTAAAATTGTTCCGAGCATCCAAGAAAGACGGAGTTATTGCTTATTTCATAACAGCTGTCATGTTTGCCTACTCAGTCTCTGCATCACTGGTATCTAAATCTTTGTTTTTTAAAAGCAGTTTGAGAGAAGAAAGAGGACACATGAAATATAATTTTTCTTTTAATTTCATACGTTTTGGGAAGTCAGCCACTGAAAATATCTCAAGTCCAAAGCCTGACTGGCCTTAAAAATGGCTGCTTTGCACTGTCAAATGCCTGCCTTTTCAGCATCTAGAGATATTATGGAAGCATTCTATTTTCTCCACCTCCTGACAGTAACATAAGAAACATGCAATGTATGATTAAAGCTATTTGTGGGCCATCTTCTAGAAATAAGACTAGGCACTGTCTTGTGCAATCAAGCACATCTGCAATCTCAGAAGGATAGGTAGCTCATTCTAGTGAGTGAAGGGCAGGAAAGGGTTAGAGAGATTCCAGCAGCAGAGCAATTTACCAGTGAAATAAAATAAGTCTCCTATCGCAAGGCAAAAAATAATAGCTCAAAGTTATACTTTCTCCTACAATAAAATTAGGAACCGGAGTGCCTGAATGAAGCAGTCACCTTCAAGACAATGGCCCTTTCACTGTGTACTGGTATTTGGCATTCCTCAAGGCACCCAGTCCAAAAGGCAGAGAAGGCAGCACACACACATGGTCCCGAATCACAAAACTGATCCCATGCTGGAAGACAACAGCTCGAAACTGGGATGAACCTTGCAATATATGAAAGGAGCTCTGGATGGGGTGATGGTGCCCTGTGGGGAGATGCTGGTCCCATGGCTGGTGGCAATGATTCTCAGCATAGAAGCAAACCTGGACACCTTCCTACTGCAGCCTTTTCGTAGGGCTGTGCACAGGAGCCAGTACATGATTTCAGTGGAACAAGATAGCAACTGAGGTCTTTTCTACAAGAGGCATTCCTTGTGTGCTTGACGTTCCTCACTCACAATGTTTGAACTTGCTTCAGACAATGAAACAATTCTAGAGTTTCATTTTTGTGTTTTCAGAGTTTTCTGAAAACTCTCCCCATCCTTTTTGCAACAGAAATAGTAAGAACAGCTATTAAATTACAACAGGGAAAGATGACACTCTTTCTCCTGGTGCATTTGCATTATTCTAGCACAGCTCCACCTATAGATTGTATAGGAGAAAAGCATGGAAAAACACTTGTTTGTGTACCCCTTCAGTCTCAATGCTACAGCAGAACTGAAGCAGATACAGCAATTAACAGCTTTGTGCAGAAAAGATCTGAAGTCCCAGTGGGCTTTGTGAGAGGGCAGAACCAACAGTGACACACATGTGAGTGAGTGAAGGCATTGGGTGGGTGTGTGATTAGGAGCTGAGCTGAACTGAGCTATTTTGAACCATTGCTCAAATTCTGCATACTAGAGACATTATAAATGGGCTCTGGGCACTTTCATTCATTTGGTTCATTAATTCAGGAAGGTGTAAGTAAATTCCTCTCCTGCTGTTATTAAAAGGTGCTAGTAGCTAGCCCATTAGGTAAGAGAATAAAACACAACTGCAAAAAAGCATATAATTATTTATCTGTATATAAGCATGGATGGATTAATTCCAAGAGCTTTGTGCACCCGCAACGTATTTTCTTCAAAAACCCAGAAAATCACTGTCTAATATTGTATATGAATATATAGGTCAATGGCTGCATACTACCCAATTTCTGGAAACTATGTCCTTATCATGCTGGCAGTTGTAGACTTATTTCTGTTAAACATGCATGTACCATAAGCCTAGAGTTCCTGGGGTTGCACTTGGCAGTAAGTCCCATTCAACTCAGTATGGGATACTTTTGAGTAACCATCTGTAAATAAATGCTATGATTTATGTGATCATCTAAGCATCTGGAGCACTTTGGGTTCACTTCTGGAGTAATAATACTATAGTGGGCTCAGAGTACTGTCCATCCCCCATAGCATGTGGGGAGCTGCTTTACATATGGAATACGTCAGCTGTCTGGCCTTCTAGATTTAGCACTGGCAAGTGGGAGGGAAGAAGGTGGGGTGCTGATTGGGAGTGGTGAAGGTCCACAAGGCCAGCCTCTTCCCCTTCCCATCCACCTGGCAGGACCCTTTTGCCCCAACTGAGGTCCAGTTGCAAACTGGGGAAGGGGGAAGGCAGTGTGGTGTTTTCCCCATCAGTGGGGAGAGAGTGCCTGGCCTTCGGAGTCCCAGTTTGAGGTTGCAGGATGTCACAGCTTGGAAGGTGAAGAACTGAAGGTATCCCAGGTGATGTCAGGAGGCCACAGGACTGCCACCTAAATCGCTCAACAAAATGATGTCTAGCTTTTAATCTGCCACCCTGGACATGGCTAATAATTTGAAACTATTCAAACGATCAGCATTTAGCACATTAAAACGGCTGGTATATGATATGATGTTTCAGACCCAGTTCATACCCACTATCCAGCGTGTCTGCAATGTGTTACCCCAATCTAGCAATGCTACCCCAGAGTTTGTTTATTTACTTATTTCTTCCAAATGTTTACATACCTCTTCCCATTTTAAAAATCCCAAGTGGCTTACAACAAAGGGTTAAACAATATAGGATTATGAAAGGGCAGCAGAATCTAGACAAGATAATGTTTTTGAAGAGACAGGATGAACAACAACAATGATTTCTGACAATCATCAAAAGCACATGATGCTTCAGCACCTGGCAAATCACAGCAGAGGTAGCTCCAGATTTATGCATACCGTATTATTGCTACAGTCCTGTTGCCCTGAAAGGACTTGATTGTGATTCCTGATGGCCAGATTCTTCTACTCTCACATAAAAATGGATGATGATGATGATGATGATATGCAAGGTTTATCCACCAATCACCACCTTGTTCATGGCTCCCAGCCCTCAACTCTTCCCTTGTGCAAAAGGATTCTGATGAGTCAAATATTACTTCCTTTTGGAAAGACCAGCCAGTGCCTTCAGGAGCCTCCTAGGCAAAAGACATAGCTCTGCCATCTTCCTTTGGCTCAGAGAATGAAATCACAGCAGGACCGCCAATGCAGGCTACAAATAACTGGTTAGCTTTTCCATCAGTGTCGTATCCTACCAGGTACCTCTAAAATGAGAGTCCTTGGGCATTTTTCTATGTTCTGGCAATCTCAGTTCTCGCAAGCCTTACAGGCATTGCCAGGAATTCTTTATATAATGCAGTGCTTATTCTTTCAAGAAATGAACAAAGAAAATGGTAACAAAGTTTCATTAGGAGTTACCTTTAGGAGTGCTTCCAAACCTAAGCCTGAACTGAAGTTTTACCCCAGTCCTAACATCCAGTTATACTCCTTATACAGAATCATAGAATAGTAGAGTTGGAAGAAGCCATGAAGGCTAAAGGGTCCAACCCCCTGCTGTTGCAGGACACCATGCCACTCAGATGGCTGTCCAGTTTCTTTCTGAATGTCTCCAGTGTGTCCACCACTTCTCTAAGGCAGCTGGTTCCACTTACATATTGCTCTGACAGTGAAGAAGCTTTTCCTGATGTCCAGCCTCAACCTGTGTTGCTGCAACTTGACTTAATTATTCCGTGTCCTACACTCTGGTATTGAGTGAAGATCTTGCCCTTCCTCTTCGTGACAGCCTTGGGGGTACTTATAGAGGGGTTTCATGTCCTTCTTCAGACGGTATGCAGAAGGACAGCCCTCAAGATGTTGCTGACTGCTTGCTTTATTTGTCCAGTAGAAGCTAACTCCATGCCCCCGGAGCCCTAACCACAACCCTAACCCTAACCTGAAATTGAATCCCAGTCCTAGCACCCGGGTACAGTGGCTGTGCATTCAGATGAAATGCACAAAAGCAGAAAAGGAACCAGGTTATCGCAAC